ATGTTCCAATGTAACATTTTGCTATGGATGTACCGATGTCACATTTTGCTATGGATGTACCCACGTCACATTTTGTTTTGAATGTACGCATGTTGCATTTTTATGGATGTACCAATGCAACATTTTGTTATTGATGTACCCAAGTCACATTTTTATGTATGTACCGATGTCACATTTTGTTATGAATGTACCTAAGTCACATTTCTTATGGATGTACCAATGCCACATTTTGTTTTGGATGTACCCCTGTCACATTTTGTTATGGATGTACCAATGTCACCTTTTGTTTTAAATGTACGCATTCACATTTTTATGGCTGTACCAATGTCACATTTTGTTATGGATGTAACTATGTCATATTTTGATTTAAATGTACGTATTCACATTTTTATGGATGTACCGATGGCACAGTTTGTTTTGGATGTACGTAGGAATTTACCCGTATCACATTGTTATGAATGTGTATCCATGCCACTTTCTGCATATCATTAATATAGCCATGTCACATCTGTTCTGAATGTACCCATGTCACATTTTGTTCGGCATTTACCTATGCAATATTTCGTAATGAATGTACATATGTCACAATTTGTAATGAAAGTACACATGTCACATTTGTTCTGAATGTACCCATGTCACATTTTGTTCGGCATGTACCTATGTAATATTTCGTAATGAATGTACCTATGTCAAAATTTGTAATGAAAGTACACATGTCTCATTTGTTCTGAATGTACCCATGTCACATTTTGTTCGGCATGTACCTATGTAATATTTCGTTATGAATGTACATATGTCACAATTTGTAATGAAAGTACAAATGTCACATTTGTTCTGAATGTACCCATGTCACATTTTGTTCGGCATGTTCCTATGTAATATTTCGTAATGAATGTACCTATGTCACATTTCGTCAGTTCCCCATTTGGCATCCCATTCCTCAGTCCAATATGTCATGTAGCGAAGCATCATGGATGTTTAACAACTGAATACCAATGTCACATTAAGTCACAATTTGTAGTGAATGTATCCATGCCACATTTTCTTTAACGTATCCAGGGATATTTAAGAAAATGACTATGTCCATTAACCACAGTTGAATAATGTTGAATCATAAATACCCTGCGTGCAGAGTCTAGTTAAACTACGAAGCTCTCTTTTAAGAAGTGAAGTCAAACGAATGCAAAGGGTAAATCATAAATGAAATTATCTCTTAAAATGAGTTAACATACAGTACTAATGACAAACCGATCTACAGTATGATGGTACTTTAATTACCTCTCTCGCTTGTTGTACGTGTACAGTCACAATTCCTCGGTCTTCAGAGCGTTGCCCTAAACAACGATATAGTTAACAATCCTGTTAAAGTCCTCTTTTAGTCGGTCTATTCCTTCCTTATTTTCGCACTTGATAATGGTGTCTGGTAAGATAGACGTAATAAAGTAAATGCTGTGATATTACAATATCCACAACAGTAATAGCACTCGAGGCGAATAGCAGCGTATTCAACATTCAAGTATAGACTACCCGATCAATAAAATTAGCTGGCCTCGTGAGTTCTCTCAGCCAGTATGTGAAACAGAGAATTAGGCGCTTGTGGAAACGTACCGAATATTTCTATAATAAGCCAGTTCAAGGTAAACAACAGAACAGACTACAAATAATGAGGCAATGGTTCAACAGGTTTGTTCAGTTTCAACCAATTCAATCGAATGAAAAGTCCAATCCAAAATTGCTTCAATGTCAGAGCCCGCCAAATCCAGAAATCTCCGGTCACTTTCTTTATCAGGGGAGCTGTCAACACATCTGATAAGAAGTGTTCTTAGCAGCTCTAGTGAAACTTGATGCTATGTTGGTCTAATACAAGATGCAGCCTACTTGTAAATAAAATACGTTATCCATGTAGGTAATATATGGTTCAACAAAAAACAGCAACTAAAAAACAACAACTAAATATGAGAAACTTATGTGGTATATGCCATATTTATGTGTCTGATCATATAATCTTCAAATTATCCATCAATTTCTTAAGAAATTGGCGAAATTAAGGAAACCAGAAAACACATTTAATGAAAGGGCGGTGTTTATAGGCTGTATGAAATGCCCCTGCATTAACGCTCACATATATGAGTTTTAAACAATAATTTAGTAGACTAAAGTGTTGATACGAAATCTCAGTAATAGTACCAGTTAGGAGATAAGGTGATGTCCGATTTAACATTACGATTGCTGGATATGCGGACGAGCTTGGTGTGATTATGGAGCAATGGAATGTTGAACTGAAATCTTTCCCAAATCCATGACAAAATCTGGGAACATCTACGATATACAGCTTACCCTTTTTTCTTTGTTTGATTTTTCTTCAAAAGAGAGCTCTGTCTATTTACAATAACGGGTAATTTGGCCTATATAAGGCCCAAAAGCCCAATTTATGCCCCAAAAGACCCATTTTTAAAGTCCCCACGGGGGGGGGGACATGCATGGATCCGCCAGTGACATAATTTACGAGGTTCTAACACTAGGGTACAATAAAGGAATAATCAATTTCCAGACTTATCAAACATGAAGTTTTGTATGTTTTGGTATTATTGTTATTAGCAATTATAAAAAATATCACATTCACCCCTCCCAGTAAATAACCTCTAGAGATTGCCGTAACGAGCTATACATGTTACATGTCATAATAGGGCAGTTACCTGTAACGTACATACTTATTTGTTTCTTTGGCATTTGTTTTCCTCAACTGTTTTCCGTTCACGCCGTATAATAAGCTTAAGTGAGGGGGGACTTAAGTGTATCCACAATGCACGACATATTTTGACAGGTGGTTATCTGCAAATCAAAATCAATTTGAAACAACAAACAATTGAATGGGTAAAATTGTTACATGAAAAAAGTAAAGATTAACGCTGTTGCCGCAACAATAGGGAGTTTAATCTTGCATATAAAATCGAAACGCCAACCTATACGTATTACCTATTGCCCATAAAAATGTATCGCTTAAATATTTTTCGTTCACGTTTAGGTTGTGAAAAACATTGCAAGCTGAACTCTAATAAGGCGTGAGTTCGAGACGCAAGAACTTCTTGAGCAACCTGCCTTGAGTTTTTCATTTGAATAATATATAGTTGGGTTCAATAAAATGTGGTAAAAAGTATAAATACATATGCTCATAATTCTACCCTTCGCCTAATAAAACCAGATGAAAACTTTACAAGTCTGATATTTCAATCCAAAACAAAACATGTTCTGATCAAAAGTATACACCATCTTGATCCATCAAAGTATTCTATACAGTATGAATAAACTGGCATACCTACATTCATTTGATAACCTTTGTGAAACTTTCATCTCAAATACGTGATAATCCCCAAGGTATGTCATCTCTTCTTAAATCAGAACATACTCGCGTTGCATAACTTATCAGATTAAAGAAGCCTTGGTCCTAAAGTAAAACAAGATTTAAAAATCAGAATAACCTTTAAGTTCACCATCGATAGATTTTATTTTAGATTTCCTTTTCTAAAAATATTGGAACCCGAATTGAAGAATCGGTCAAATACTCAGAAAGTAAATTGACTGCCTTAACTTTTAAGAGGTGCTTACACTGCATAAAATATCATTTACAATTTGAGCAATTTGTTTCAAGGCTTGGTAGTCTCAGGTGGATAGATCGAAGCATTAATAGTATCAAAACAAATTAAAGGCTGTTACAAAGTTCAATAATTTGCTGGGGTGCAGGGCCCTTTTATAAGACCTCTCCTTAATGCATATTTTATATTATGGAAAGCAAGAAAAGCAAGAAGATGGAAAGCAAGAAGTATTTCTGCGATGAAAGATTCGAATTTGATACTTTACCAGACATAGCTGCCATCTATCGAACTATTATAATACCATTTTCATGAATGGCACCATAATCAAAATAACACTGTCAAGTTAAAGGTGCAACATAACTTACTATATAGAGATGAGTTGAAAGTTACTCCCTCAACAATTATTACAATATCCAAAACTTTCATATTTGATCAGATACTTCTATTTCGGATAATACAATGAATATTGAAATGGAAATGCCTCAGAAGATATTGGTTCCGAAGACAGTTCACCCTGTTTTTGTTGCCGCTTTAAGACGGTGTATTGACCTTTCCTTTAAAGGGGACCACAAACTTTGTTTATTTTGTTTTGAAAATTATTGATAAAAGGACCTCATTGAAAAAGAAGAGTTAGTGAACAACCTTAATACACGACTTACATTCGGAGTGAAATAATGTTCGTAGTAACGCACATAGCAACCAAAGAAAGTTACTGGAACTGTATACACCTGAATATATTTAAATCGAGAAAATATTGACAAAGCTATTGGGTTAGTGACTAAGGAACTGCACAAATAACTTTGGGATTTGGGATTAGAAGCGATTTAGGATTACCGCCACAAGGAGTACTTGTTGAGGAGTATTTCGTCAGACCTGCATATAATTAGATCAGATTTTATATTAGTAATGAATGACTATGATCATTCGTGAATGGTATGAACCATTGTAATGAAGTTCGAGGATTTAAACCTTGAAAGAAAACCCTACCAGTAGGTTATCTAAAATTACGAAATCTTATACAAATGAATACTTCTGTGTTTAATATTACAAAAAACAATAACTTGGAATGCAATTAAGTCCAATATCACAACAGTTGATTGTGTTGTACGGCGAGTCGGTCTGACCTCATAAGATAACTTAATTATACAAGAATGCTGATTTACAATGACAATAACTCTGTGAATGTCGGAATGCAGAAAGCCAAGAGAGTAACTTAGGCTATAAGGGGATCAATTAAAGAAGTATATAGCATTGCCATAATGGAAATGACATACGAGCCAAAATGTACTTAATTAACTGAATACATACTCAATCATCAATTAATTACTTCAAGAGAATTTGAGAAACTAACGATTTCTGATATGCAAATACTCAGTAGTTTTAGCCGATGGCCCTCGTGTTTCACGACGCTACTAGGAGACCATTAGCACTGCTAGAAACCTACATCAAGAGTCCATGACAATTTTATCAAAATTAATTTAATAACTTTTACTGATATATGAACTGTAAAAAAATATTGGAGAGTATCCACTAGAAAATCTGAAGATCCGTCATCAAACGCTTATCAAATAACGTTAATATCTAATCTGAAGAAATATGGATCCTAGACACAGGCAGATTCTTCAAACAAACCTTCCGTATCTTCTTGCAAACATCAAACTGACATCGACCTTCTATGCAGAAGCAAGGAACCTTGAGCTCCTTTCCTACGACATGATAGATGCGATAGAGGTATTTATGTTGATGTATTTTTATTAAAGTATGGCTAATTGGAATTACTATCTTGCATTATTACAATTTGTTATTGTGTATGATAATTGACCTAAAAATGACGATGAATAGATGACCAAAAACAATCAAATCCTCTTCTTTATTTTTTATTATCATCAATTCATTGCAACTCGTATATTTCAGACGAGCCGAGACCCAAGTGCCCGCGCAACTGCACTGTTAGATATGCTTCAACGCCCTAATACGTTCTACGCCTTACTAAAAGCCCTTGAGCGTTCTGGGCAGAAGCACCTCGTGAGGCGCCTGAAGAATGATGACGATGATTTCATGAAAGGTAAATTCATCATTTGAGCATATAGCAGTAAAACTTTACTATACTGAACTGCATTCACTTATATGGTTGTATATTATAAGGTTGTGATGTTATGTCCTATGGTGACGAGAAACATAAATGTACACGTATGCCAATGACATATTATGCCACGCATCGATGGACGTGTCACGCATGATTACGTAGTTTAGTACTGCATTTTCATTCAAATGTATGTATAGGTGAAAATGAACGAATCCTGCTCAGACACATGATGTCTGCCAGACTTAATGTTATGAATTCTCCTTCCAGACAAGGCCATTCAGGTTCCTGAGAATCCACCGTCCAATGTAGTAAAAACATTGAAGAAACACAAACTCCTCAGAAAATACCACGAGAGGGATATTTTTGAACTGGCGAGATCCTTAGATCCAGTAATAAACGCCGCCAAGGCAACCCTAAGTGCGACCATAGCTGATTTGGAAGACGAAATCCGTGAATTAAAACGTGTTATCCCCGCAGAAAAAGCAGACGACACAACCGCTAAAATGTCTCTGAGAAGGAGAATATATGGAAAGATCGGAGATAATTATAAAAATGATACTTGGATGTTGGCCGCAACTAATATTCAAATTGATATGCTGAATAAGAGACTAGGAGATGAAATAATAAATGACAACGACCCAACATACAAAGAAATAGAGAAAACGATAGACTTGTACATGTACCAAGAACTTGATCACCACTCAAAGCGTCTGGAATCACTGACATTAAACATTAACTATCTTTTGAATAAAATGGAACAATCAAATCAAACGAAGATGGTTATTCAAACAAATAACAAAGTATTAGCCCAAGAGCAGTCAAAAATAGGGAAACTACTTGAAAGCTATACCGGAGAGAATTTCATTAAGAGTAAAGATCTTGGTGAGATTCTTCAAAAAGTTATCCATGATGCTGAAAAGTATAAACAAGAAAATAAAACACTGCGAAGAAGGACTATAGATGCAGAATACGAAACTAGGGTCAATCGCGAGGCATACAGTAGTCTCTCTGCAACACTTCAAAAAGTGCAACAGAATTATGATACGCTGAGGCAAGAAATGCTGTCTCTGAGTAAGCCCCCGCCGGAAGACCGCTCTGGTCGTGTATCACCAAACTCAAGGATGCGCATGGCAAGATCACCATTTCCGGCAATACCAGAAGATAATGACGTTCAATCCGATACGAACGAAGATAATGACAATGAAAGGACGAATTCACCCGAACGCTTAAATACTCCATTGTCAGCAAAAAGTGAACCGATTTATTCACCCTTACAAAAGCAGGAATACCGGAGAAAACCAAAAGAAAGAATGTGCCATACATCTCCTTACAATACACCAAGGAATACGCCATCACCCGTGGAAAACCCACACAGGCATACACTTTTCTTGCCTCCGATTTAAGTCAGGCAAAATGAGACCATAAACTATAATATATTCATGCATAGACTGCAATATGCAAATCTGCATGTACATTGTACTCAATCTACGCTGTATACCTTAAATGGGCATTCTCACTATGTACAGGATGGGCCAAAAGTCCATATTTTTTTCCAATATAACATTTTTGAAAATGAATCCAATTGTTCCTGAAATGGGATAAATACTTTTTAGGGGTTTCTGAATAATAATTATAAAAGTTAACAGGCACTAGCGGTTCATTTGAAAATAAACAGATTTTAGCTTGATATTCGAAAAAAAATAATATAGCATTTTCATGCAAATTCATGCATTTTTGAAAAAGTTACATTGAAAAAGAATATGGACAATTTTTGGCCAACCCTGTATGTTCATTAATTATCCTAGAATATTCTTTATTCAGTTATCTTGATGAGGGATTTAGACGTAAAACCGAATTGTTCTGTCAAGCCTAAATTCATGGACAATCTTTAAAACAATATTTTCACGTTACACTTCTTAACCCGCCCAAAAATGACAAAATAATAAAATGATTAAATAACGTTTTTGTACTTAGTGACAACAATTAAGGATAGAGATGAAATAATACGGTTTAACAATATTTTCTGACAGATCATAAACGTAAACATTAGGTTTTGTAAAAGTCTGAATCCCTAGTTAACATAGACATATGTAATAAGGAGGGTAGGCTAACTGTTTTAAAGAGAACTAGTACTGAAAGTGTTTTATGACCCTAGCCTTGATTACTGTCCCCATATCAATTGTTTTTCCAGTGACGTAATTGCAAGTTTTCTCATTTTACCTTCATAATCAATCGAGCAAGTAAATATTACCAAGGACAAAAGCAATCGCTTATTCTACGTTCATACACAAGTCCTCTTAAAAACGTGTAGCTCGACGTCTCTAATAAATTCAACCTTACCTTCTCCACTCCTGGTTGACAATCAGAAAATGAACATAGATATCAAGGACCATCCTTGCTCAAAATTAATTTCACTTCTTTCCATGAATTGATAGAGCAATCAAGCATTTTGTTGAAGGATGAAGAATCAAAGATAAGCATCTAATAAATATCACTTTTTGTATCAAAAAATTCAAAATGGCCACCAAGAAAATGATAAAAAGTTGAAAATCAATGAATTTGGCCAAAATATCATCATTACAATTTTATACATGGTAAAATGTCTTATGTTGGGCATCTAATAAAATAATAATTAATATCATTTGATCAATGTATAAAATCTATTTATTTACAATTATAGGGCACTCATGTCTTACCAGTGATATATTAATTACATAACAACTCACATATAAATACGATGACAATAGCCCACTTGATAAATTATGATATTTTGATTGCACATTTACATTGTTATATATCAATGCAAAATTATTTACTATCAATGGGAAAGTACTTCAAATGTAGAAAATGTAAAATAATGCAGGAAAATAGAAACAACTTGGCATCATTGTTCTATACTGCATGCAAAGTATATATGTCATACCTTTTTCATTGGATACTCACTTAAACTTTATCTTGAGAATATAATTCCAAAATTGACTCAAGCCAAATTAGGTCAAAGGCGAATTCTCGTTTAACTGAAATTAAATTCCTGATGAAAGATGTGTACATAATTTGGCATATAAAAACCTGTCCATGATCGATATTTGTAGAAAAGTTTATGCATCGTCTTCTAGGCTCATACTTTTGGAATGGCGTCAGGATTTTAACTAATACTGTACTGCATTTTGATTGGTTATAGTTTGGCTTTGGCATCTGCAAATATTCCTTCTAGTTTCTGAGCTAGCATGATGTTACCAGACATCTTCAACTTGCCAGTCATGAATGCCTGAAAGTCAAAAACATAAAATGTGTTATCAATGATTTTCTTGTAATTTTGGATATAAATTGCGTTTTATTAACAATCCATAATCTTCCTTAAATATACCTTAAGTTCACTAATTCAGCGTTTAAGAAAAAGATTTTATGTTTCAGGTCATGAATTCAAAACTAATGAGGTAAAACATGTAACTATGGTGTTATCTTGAACCATATTTTGTTTTCTCATTACCATGGTAACAACTAATTTGCTACATACCTTTTGAGCATTAAGCTTTCCCATTACCATGTCAACAAAGTCATCATCGCTGAGGGTAAGAGTACAACCAGCTTTAGCGCCCCCTTGTGGTGTCCCCTTATAGGCAGCACCATTGCCATTCTTTAGGTCTACCGCTGCAAGATGAAATAAGAGTCATATGTGAAATATTTCCAAAGCACAATTGGACTATAACCCGCTATAACAACAAGGTACACAATCAAACAAAATCATACATAAAACCACCTTAAAATTTACGATACATGCCTACAGTCTAGGCAATTCTGGAAAGGTTTGTCAGGAAATGTGCAAATAAGAAAAGTAAAAATTTCAGTGAAAAATGTGCAGTCATTCAAAAGTCAAATTCATTACAGACTTACTCCAAGTTTGGGTTTTGCCATCCTTTGTAATATTCCACTGGAAGATTGCTTTAACATTCTTGACCAAATTTGGGTTTGACTCGATACGTTTAGCCATCTCTGCAAAGATTGGCTCACTTAACAAGCTATCTGCCTATAATATCAATTAGAAGCAATTTACTATTCAATATTTAAGTCTTGAATAATTCTTATACATTTTCATCTGTGGGTTCTGATTTCGCATCATATCAGTGAAGCTGATATGCACTTGATCATTTTAAAAACTAAAACTTGTACTCCCAATTGACCAAAATTATGTTTGGCAGTTTTTAAAATTTATTAGAACTGGTCATTTTCCAACCTAGTGTAATTGAGCTTAGACGGAAACGTTAAATAGACTATCCCATGGGGTAATTGGCATGCTTTTAAAGGGGAGTGCACATCTACATTTCATGCAATGTAAAAATCAACAAATAAACCCTTTTCTTATTTACCATAGCCTCTTTTCTTGTGGCCTCAAATATGGTGGATAGCTTTGCTGCCAGCATAATGTTGCCCTTGACCTTCAACTTGCCAGACATAAAGGCCTGAAACATCAATAAGCATAACATTAAAGTATGGGACACCTGTGTAAATGGAATACCCCTCGTACTCCTAAAAGGTGTTCCACTCTGGAGAGATTCCACATTCACAGGTTCATTTAACATTGTGGCAATGGGCCTTTTGTTCCATGTGTTCCACTTACAGAGGTGTTTCACTGGACAATTTCTATAGTATGTCTAATATATTTTAGTCGGTCTATTTATCAAGTAAATGCCATACTGAATAAATGGTCATGAACTTCAAGAATATTGAATGAATAAAAGTTGCTAAAAAAGACAGCATATTGTTGCCATATATAGCTATGGCATCTCAAAATAGAATGTCCTGCCGTCTCTTCCTCAATGATTTTTTCAAACAGTTATGATTTGATCTAATCAAATGAAAGCATGCACCTACCTTTTGGCCATTAAGTTTACCAGTCACAAGATCAACATAATCAGAGTCATCAACTGTAATTGTTACATCTGCTTTGCCCTTCTTAGGATCACCTTCATACAGTTCATTGTTCCCTTTCAGATCAAGCGCTGAAATATACAGATGAAAGTATTGATTACTGGTTGAAACACTCTTTTTCAGGCTCTACTTTGCTATTTCTAGCTAGCCCGTCTGCTGTTCTTTGTTATTCTGCTGATGTGTTCAAAAAGCTAGAACAATCTAATATGCATCACATTTTTTAATTTATTCAAGAATGAAAATTTAATTTTGAGTCATTACATAAATAAGAATTTGATGTTAAGTTATTCAAAATGTTTTTTGATTTCTAGTAATTCAAGTAACTTACTCCATCTTCTCATTGGCTTCTTGTCCTTAGTGATGACAAATGTTAAGATGGAGTTCACTTGCTTAGCAACCTGGGGTTGCTCCTTCATCCTTGATCCCATTTCTTTAAATACAACATCACTTAGCAACCCTTGTCCAGCCTGAATAGGAAAAAAGGTGTGTTATATACACTGGGCTCGTTTTGCATATTTTAAGCAGATTTTTGAAAGGTGGCGCAAAATCTATTTCAATGAATCTTTTTAAAAAACTGACAGTCTCCTCATGTACATAGAATTCCATAGATCAAGTTTTACAATAATTATTAACTGACATATGTTGTTAATGTTACTTGAACTTACTGGAGCAGAGACAGGTCTAACATCAACACTATGGAGGTCAATATAAGCCCCTGATAGGCACACACTACCAGTCTCTGCAACCTAAATAAAACAACATACATGTAGATATATACGATGGCATTCAATCAGATTCATACATCAATCAAACTATGTGGATAAGTTAAAATCACATAGGTAAGTTGTTTAAGTTTTAAATGTACTACTATTTAAAGTCATTTTATTCACATTAATTCTCTATTGTTAAAATATATTAGTGTAATTCTTGGCGTCTGTAGCAGCATAGTACTTGCAAAATCATCCCTCGTATTATATACAGTAGATAAAGTATGTACTATTCTACAATGTACAATATAAATATAGCAACTCTCAGCTGCATGGTCTGCCAAATCATACTCATCCAGTCTTATTTCAAGTTAGGGCTGATTTGAGAACACACCAAATGTCAATGCCTTCTATCATGGCCTACCTTTGTGTTAAAGTGTATCCTTGTCCCCTCTTGCCACATGTCAGTCTGTAGGGTCTGCCCTGGTAGGACAGGCTTGGCAAACCTCACCTATACAGGCATACATACATTGGGGTCAGCTTTAAGTAGCACTGGGAGGGGGTCTGGGGAAGGCATGAACCAGAATGTGGTTCAAACTCCAATTGCATGGAAAAGTTTAAGGTAGTTCCGCATTTTGACAAAAAAAGTTTAGGAAATGCCATTATCAGTTTGAAATTATCTGATAATCTTTAGGTAAATATATTTTTCCTGAAAAGGTAAATAACCACACAAAAATGTGAAAACTATTTTCTAATCTATTTCGTGAAATTTAAAAAAATTTCATCATGCAGAGCTACCTTAATAACCACAGCTAGGTCATGGGAATTCTTGCAAAGTAATAATTATATTTCATGAGCATACATTAGAATACATGAGAAGTTCTGATGTAGATGTGCATATTATTTTTATATAGAAAGAACTCGTATCCCGGTGAATCTGTTCAAGAAATATCATTATTGCTTTGCATCATACATGGTAGCATATAGTTAAGATAAACCAGCAAAATTCAACAATAATTCTCCATGAAGATCTTCAACTTGAATAATGTAAAATTGCTGGTTTATCTCAAAATTCAAAAACATATAAAAAGACTTACTGATTTTGATTTTGAGTGTTCCATTTTTGTGAGATTCGGTAGGATATATTTGAATGTATTATAATCCTTCTTAAAAGTTGAAAAACTGTGTACAGCCGTGTGTACTTTGTTATTAGACCAACATACCATTAAACTTTGTACAGTTCAACGCTATTTATCATGTATTGCGAGATTACATGTGGAGATTTATGCTGTATTATTGGTCGCTTTATTTATATGAACTGCTCAATATCATAATTCAATAATTCCTTTCCAATTTTTCTGAGCTTAACAACATTATTTTTTGTGCTGGATAGTTCTTTTTGAAAAGAAAGATTCTTTGCAAATAATTTTTAAGAGTTACTATGATTTCTAATCTAGAATACCTTGCATAAAATGAAAAACATAAATCAAAATACAGTTTACATGTTTCAACTTTTTGCAAGGGCTTCACAGGAGTTTAAAAGAACCATAATGCTTTAGAACCACAATGCTTACAGTATATTAGGTATGGTTTGACCTTTAGAAAACCCCAAGGCTATGATACAACTATTAAAGCAACTACTTTATAAATGATAAAAATGATAAAAACGTTATTTTTAACAAGTGACATTAACACTCAAATAATAACCCAATATTTATGTCATATATTCTTAGTTGCCTCTCAACCTCTTTAGAAATTTCTTTTATTAAAAAGTGAAATATTTTCCAAACAAATAATGTGTTACAAAATATTCTCAAGAAATCTTTAAAGATTTACCTTGATGGCTTTAAATTTGGAGACATCGTTATTTGCAAATTTTTTCAGGACGTGTCTGGCAGCATAACCAAATGAGCAAAGACCATGCAAGATTGGCTCTTTGAAACCTGAAATATAGTTTCATATCTTAGAAGTATTTGGAGAACAACAAAAATACAAAACATTAAGAATGATAAAATGCATTTCTTATTCTCATCAAAACTGATAATGTCCAAAATGTCACCTGATCTTGGCACTAGTATGCTCATGCATCTGTGAAGATTTCAAGTTGAACAAAAAAGACGTTTTTGAAAAAATTGATGATAAGATTTATGCAGCACCCACATGCACCCAAACCCAGCAGCACAATACGATGACATTATACAGCAAAAAATGTGACAAGTTTGGTCAAAGTTGACATGCCTTATTTTGCAGCTTTGTGTGGATTGTATCTACTTGTGTACAATATGTACAATCATGGTTACAATAACTACAATAACTCACCACCCATTGCAGCAAAGCTAGGATCAATATGTAGTGGGTTCCTGTCACCACTAAGTCTGTAGAGGGCTGCCTAGAAATACAAAAATAAACAAAATATATTGTGTTTTTCTGTGTATTTCATGGTAGAGGGGTTGGGTTATACCTGGTCAATGGTTGATAATACCTGGTCAATGGTTGAATATACCAGGTCAGTGGTTGATTATACCAGGTCAATGGTTGATAATAACTAGTCAATTGTTGAATATACAGTACCAGGTCAATGGTTGATTATACCAGGTCAATGGTTAATTATACCTGGTCAATGGTTGAATATACCTGGACAATGGTTGATTATACCAGGCCAATGGTTGATTATACCTGGTCAATGGTTGATTATACCAAGTCAATGGTTGATTATACCTGGTCAATGGTTGATTATACCAGGTCAATAGTTGATTATACCTGGTCAATGGTTGAATATATCAGGTCAATGGTTGATTATACCTGGTCAATGGTTGATTATACCTGGTCAATGGTTGAATATACTAGGTCAATGGTTGATTATACCTGGTCAATGGAGAGATTATACCTGGTCAATGGTTGATTAAACATGGTCAAAGGTTACTATACCTGGTCAATGCTTGTTTTCTCTGACATGGTTGCATCTGGGGATCTCTTGGGGGGATTAACTGTAGGCTTGGCTTTACTTGAGCTTTTCTTGCCACCAAATCCTCCTGATCCAACGACAAAGGCCGCCATCTGATTGTAGGCGACTAACTCTCCCTTCTCATCATAGGTTTCAACTATGGTACGAAATAACAGTCAGAATATGAGATGTTTAATTAATACAGTAAGCTTTTGAGACAAAACTTGTGGACCGATTGGACAGGTGGATGTTTTTCATATATACTGCAATACAAACAATGCAGATGGAAGAATTGATTGCAATAGCTAGTAAAAACCTGCCATGCAACAATATAGGGAATGTTTGATGAGTAAGAATTGTGCAACTCCTACAGCATAAAGAACATGACAAACACAGATTCATAACGCAAAAAGTGCATGATAGACTTAGAAGAAATTATTAAAACTATAATGTCCCTCTGCCCTGTTCTTCCCAATACCCACCACAGCAGACTCCAACCCCTCTTCAAATCTTTTCTAATGCTCATAATACGCTCATGGTGATTGCCACTTGAATATGAGACTTGGAGAGTTACTAGCATTCATCATAATGAATAATAAAAAATATTTGCAATACTCACTGTCCTCAATGATCAACATGCCAGAGCCCTTGTCTAAGACGTCAGCAATACGAACATGTGATGTCAGAGTGCCCTCTGTTGGCAGAGGCTTATAGAGCTCCATGTACTGCTCACCATGGACAACCTGAAGTTTATAAAGATACAATGATTGGAATATTATTATTAAGCTTAATATACATTTTTCTAGCTCATTTACATTGTGCTATTATTTATGTTACTACAGTATATTAATTTTTACATTATAAATCTTTGATAAAAATGTAACAATATTCCTCATTTCATAAACAGCGTAGCTACAGTTGAATTTATGTAAACAATTATCTTTTGTCTGTGGTTATCATTTATTCATATCAATTAATATTGAAGTATTAATATGTTAGGATATAACAATCAAAAGCAAGCCTGAAATCCGGGGCCTGAAAGCTTTATTGCAGGTGCAAACGAATAGTAATTATACAAAGGTTTAACTGGATCTTATAATAAATTGTGTTTCTTATCAAAGCATAAATAAAATGACTTTAAAGGAGCATGTGTATAAATACTATCTAGTATATAGAAATAGAAATGAACTATTTATTAATTCTCCTCTAATATGACTGTCTTATCTTCTTGTTTCATGGGGATTTGTATATTTGTGCATAATAGGGAAGACGTGTTAAAGGAGCATGTGTATACACTATCTACTATCTGGTATATAGAAATAGAAATGAAGTAATTGTCAATTCTCCTCATGTGACTGTTTTAGCTTCTTGTTTCATGGGGATGTTTATGTTTGTGCGTAATGGGGAAGATGTGTCTGATTTCTGTAAACATGATACATGTAAGATGCGTTATGAGGACATCATTCTATTGAACTGAACATTTTCTAATTGGAAGGAAAATGGATTTAAATGAGGCTTAAAAACTAGATCAATGTCTCACAAAACACTGTCACATTAGATACATGGTAAGATACAATATGAGGACATAGTTTTGAATGGAACTACACAAATAACATCCTTACTTGTTACAATAACCCCAGTGTTGCCAATTAAGAGAACAAGCTTGGGAAATGGAAGCAAGAGAAATGTTAACTACGAGGCCTTTCTAATTAAAATGAAACACCTACCCTAGTTGGATCAATCACAATTCCTGATCCAGGGATACCTCCGCCAAAAACATCAAATGCGCACATGAGCGATGGTATCACACCATATGTTGGTAAAACACTGAAATCTTCACTTCCTTCATATAAGAAGTTCAAATAATCTTCTTGTTGCGTGCTTACACCCACTGAAAATGGAAAAATAAAAATATCACTGACCTTGAAAATTTCAGGACTCAGGATTCTGTAACCTAGGCCTGGGCTATGGTACGACATACCTTATAATAAGGGCAAAGGACAGCGCAAGAGGGAAAGAAACATTTAAAGCAGGAGACATCTATCTCCAGCATCCACATACCCTCGTGGGGTCCATTGGAACACCAGGTAGACCATTAGAGAGTGCGTCATAAACTGCCATCTGGGACGGGATCACCCCATATGTTGGTAAAACCGCAAAAGATTCGCTACCTTCATATAAACGATCCAGATAGTCTTCTTCCTTAGTTGAAACTCCCACTGAAAGCCATCAAAGCAATCTTTGTTATTTATAATGACGGTTTCGGTGAGAGTTCTTACTTATGTGAATGAAATGAAATGAGAAGCACAGGGCAGTTTCATGCACAGATTCAAGGAATAATCCCTCCATTCATAAGCATTGGCTTATCACTTATCACTTTGCTTATGCACAAAACTGAAGAGGGACAAAAGGGGGAGTTAAAGAGACAGATATTAGGGCAAGGCTACCATTTCAATATTGATTCTAAAAATTGTTAATTTCACATAGAAGCGTTGAAATGGTAGTCTTTGTGTCATTATTTCTATGTTAAAGGAGTGTGATTGCTAATGGCACAAGATGAATGCACATGGACTGCATTAGACACTTTTGCCTCCACAAAACATTAGGGAGGTTAAGCTAGACAATTTGAAAAGAACTTGTGTGTGAAAGTGCAGACTTGTGGTCTTCTAGGGCTTTATTCTCCCTGTTTGTAATACTGGTATATAACAGTCTTAAGATCTTTGGAAAATAGTTAAGGTCATAAAATTACACATACACATCCAAATTCTCTTGAACAAATGTGTATTTTAACCTCCCTATTACATACAAATGAACATAAAGCCATATGGGAAATGTGTACCATAACTACTAGGGCCTAATACATGACTGCAAGAATACCTTCTCTGGGGTAACAGGTAAGCCAGTAGAGAAGTGAATCCTCATTTGTGCAATTGAAACTTGTGCCACAACTGCACTGTACGTGGGCAACACAGCGAAATCTTCATTCAGTTCAAATAGAAACTTCATATGGTCATCTTGATTAGTACTAACTCCAACTGGAATCAATTTTTAAACCTCCATTTTGAACCTTTCGTATATATTAGGGATATACATGTAGCAATACTATTATATAGCTGCAGCGTCTGTCACCTAGGCAACACAGCACTATAATACAACTACAATTGCAGCAAAACCTGTATTTCCAAAAACCTCTCTATATCTGAACACCTCTTAATCTGAACATTTTTTGCTTGGTCCCATTCTTAATCTGCAAGAGACTTCCATGTTAAAAAACTTGAAATGAGAACACTTGTGAAGCTGAACACTTTTGCCAGCCTAAGTGGTGCTCAGATTACACAGATTTTACTGCACATATTTGTATAATGGGCCTGATGCATGGAGAACCATTAAATCACACACACATGTAGAAAATGAGGTCCCAATGTGACTATATTGGTCAGTAAAACATGTGTATGAGTGAAACAATTTATCAGTCAGTGGGTGTTAGAAGGCTGAAGTGTTCCACTTACAGAGGTGTTCCACTTACACATGTGTTCCACTTACAGAGGTGTTCCACTTACAGAGGCATTCCACTTTAAAGAGGTGTTCCACTTACAGAGGTGTTCCACTTACAGAGGCGTTCCACTTTAAAGAGGTGTTCCACTTACAGAGGTGTTCCACTTACAGAGGTGTTCCACTTTACAGGTTTAACTGTACCTTTTTGAGGTGTACAGGTAAACCTTTTACACTACAAAGGTCATCCCCTCCCACCATGGGGAACAACAGAATCAGGCCAAGGTGGATTGGGAAGTGACTAGCGTATGTAGGGAATACAGTGAATTCTATGTCACCCTCATATAGGAATTTAAGGTAATCTTGGTGCTTTGTAGAGATCCCAACTAAAATGTTAAACTGTAACTATGGAAACACATATAAATTAAGAGGTACGTTGTACATACTTGCTGCTCAAAAATATCCAAGACTACTGTACAACGAAGAATACAGAAAGCTTAAAACAGAAGTATTATTTCTGCATTCTTCCTTGTACTTAAGAATATTATAGTACACAGTTTGTTCCAATATTGGAGTGAGATCCAAAGAAAATAATCAAACTTCTCTATAATATTTCCTATCTCCTGCTCTATAGTCTATATGACCTAAGGCTAATATTTTCTTTGGGAACCTAGACAATAGCTAGATAGACTTAATCTTTAAGTACAATCATTAAGTACAATCACTATGCACAATCATTATGTACAACTCCACTGATCGTTTTAAAAATTAAATATCCAATGAAATGAAAACCGGCAAATTTTAAATCAATGATTTTCTTTTTCTATCACTGCTAATTCTTTTTTTCTATATCATATTACTAAGTACTAAAATTAGTTTTAGATAAGTATTACAGTATTTTTTATGAAGATGAGGTCGGAAATGAGAATGGATTTTATGAAATGCAAAAAGTCTGAAACTAGAAGCAGGAGGAAAGTCCATGTACATGTATTAACATTCCTTCACTTATTAAGACCTAATAAAATTGTGACCATTGGAGGCCATTTGGTGATTTGATACGCAATCAATGTTCTTACCTCCAAGATTGTACAGGATTGACTCTTTGTTCGTGTATGTCCATTTGGCAGGAGGGAATTTAGCTTCTAGGGCTTTTTGCTGAAATGAAATAAATGACACAATTTAGCTGATGAGATATACATAAATTGCATATACATTTAGGTTTTTTTAAATGACTCCCTTAATTTACTTAACATTTTGAAGATTATATATCAGATTCTGAAATGAAAAAAGAATCAAACTGCACTATATACAAGTATATACAGGGTGGGACGTTTTTATTGGCCCACCCTGTATATGATCTGACTCATGTCTGACTTTACCCAATGAAACACCTTACAGAAAGTACACACCACATTGATTTCAGAGTCTGCAGCAATGGTATGTGGCATTATATTTGCGCTTGCATTGTTGGTCTCAACTCCTCCTTCTACTTCACTTATGGCAGCCATCAAGTGTGTCATGCCCTCTACAACATAATAAATATTAGTTATTTATACGGTAGGTTTAGTTGCGTTGTATTTTGACAAAATTCAGCAACAAAAGATCTACACAGGCACAATTTTTTTTAGAAGAAACTTTTTCATCAAATGGTGAAGGAAATAATTTTCCAATATTCTGCAATATTTCTGAAGAAATAAAGACATCAAAAGACACTTTTTTCATCAACTTCTGGCTCAAGTTTATGCAGAGTTTACTTTACATCACTTATAAACATGGAAAGTACCTGTTATTGAAGTAGGATGGTTGGATTCTGTAAAATCAACAATCTTCTCCCAGTTTTCTCTCACTGAAATGACCAAATAATATATGATACATTCAGATAGTTCAGATTTAATTGTATTTTCTTAACATATTAATGTGGAGATGTACATCAGAAAAAGGATCTAGGTATTTGCTAGATACTACATACCTAGGGAAGTATTTGTATGGAAGTCAATGGGAAAGTGAGTGAGCTATATCCACCGATATTGCCTGATGGATTACCCCGATATAGCCTGCTTACCTCATTTTGATATTAGATTTCTTCAATAATCATAACAACATGATGTCATGTTTCATTTCTATCAAATTCTACTCGCACGCAGATGTGTGATGTCATTGATACAAAGTAGCCATGGGAATAAAGGTATGTAATACATCAGTTATGTCACTATGACGTGAAATATGCATTTGTTCTTGCCCAAATATAGAGGCTCCCAAGGTCGGCCAATATTGGGAGAACTCAGGCATATTTCATGTCAGAGTGACATAAACTCTAAAGAACCAATTGAAAGCATGAAAATTAGTAATTTTAAAATAAAACCATTTCACATAAGACGTTGGTAAAGTGTATTACAATTTTCTTTTAAAGCCATTTAAATTATTCGTAAACATAAACAATGAAACTACAAATATCACGCCCGGTGATCGTGAATATGGGACGGAGGGGGGGAGCAGGCAATTTCTGCTAGGAAATTCAACAAATCTTGAAGATTTATTTTTTCAAGAAAAAGTTTACTATTGAATTGCTAAATGGATAGGCGCACGGTATGGTAGAATATGTTAGGTTTTCTGGGATTTTTTCTGAAACGATACGCATCTAAAGTATGAGATCTATTAAAAAAGGCGCAAGGCCATCAACAGGCACAAATCAACGTTTTTGCTATAAATCAAGCAACAATGGTCTGGACGACCTGTAATAAATACTTGTAAGTGATGTTATCATAACTAAGTTAATGTCATTGCTGAATTTATAAAATAAGTTTCCATATGTGAAATAAAAAATAATCGAAAATAATGAATTTGGGACGGAGGGGGGGAGGGGACGGAGGGGGGGAGCAATATGTATATAAGACATGATTAGAGATGTTTCGCGACTTTAAGTCCTTTTACTCCAAATGTCCCCATTTTTCAGTCTCCAGGGGTATATCATCCAGTTTCTTACTAAGTTAATGAGTTCATTTTTCAAATACAAGAATTCGTGTGAAGTTGTTTCACTTTATAGAATTATTACTCCCCCCCTCCGTCCCCTCTCCCCCCTCCGTCCCATTTTAATTATTTTCAATTATTTTTTATTTTACGTATGGAAACTTATTTTATAAATTCAGCAATGACATTAATTTAGTTATGATGACATCACTTACAAGTATTTATTACAGGTCGTGTAGTCCATTGTTGCTTGATTTATAGCAAAAACGTTGATTTGTGCCTGTTGATGGCCTTGCGCCTTTTTTAATAGATCTCATACTTTAGATGCGTATCGTTTCAGAAAAAATCCCAGAAAACCTAACATATTTTACCATACCGTGCGCCTATCCATTTAGCAATTCAATAATAAACTTTTTCTTGAAAAAATAAATCTTCAAGATTTGTTGAATTTCCTAGCAGAAATTGCCTGCTCCCCCCCTCCGTCCCATATTCACGATCACCGGGCGTGAATATGAACTTTGGTTGGTAATCACTTGTAAATGAGTCATACTCTAAACATTTTGAGTTATCTTATCAGATAGCACATATTCAATTCAAGGCTCTTTTGAACCAATAATAATGAACAATTATTTACACACACATTTACATATGTCATGAATGTAATGTTCTAGATTTTGACATGACTATTTTGTCATATATAAAAGACTAGAATACTGAATGAAGGTCACTTGAACTGATTATAACCAAGCCTTTTGCTTCCACAATGTTCACAAAAAGCATCATTGATATTAAGGCTAAAATACGCAAAAATCCACACTTTGTGTTATATATCAATGCAAATCTTACCTGCTTCAGGTGTGAATGCCTGGTTCTTTTTGCGCACCACAACACCCTTGGACTTCTCATATCGCACTGGAAGAGATAAATACACATCATATAAGAGTAAGATTACACAATTATTTTTGATGTTCTAGTTAGATATACTGTACTTGGGCATTAGTAATCTTTCATTCATTAAGACAGCATTCCTACAAGATGTGTAGCTTCAAGTTCAAAATTTGAAAATTGTAGTTTTCGAAATGAGTGAAAATACACTGTAAGCCAAAATTAGTTAAAATAAATTCAAATCCACAAGTTTACCACTTTGTCCAAACACAATTCGCTTTCCACTGGACATAGTCCAATGAAGCAACCTTTATACCACTCCACCATTTGAAAAAATGGGATCACATAGTGATAAAAAGCTGAGTTTTCTATAAAAACAAGGCAAACAAAATGCATAGACTCATCACATGAGCCAAAAACCACAAAACCCCAGATTAGAATATTATAATGAGACTTACACTTGGACATCCAACCAGCTCCGCATTCAAATATTCCACCAGTCTCTGAGCACGAGTCATGGCACAGCCAGGCAACCAATGGGGCAACAAACTCAGGCTTAATCTGGTCAACCAATTCTGGGAAAATAAAACCCTTTACATGTGAATGTCAAAATAAGCAAATGCAACACAATCAACATACAGTTAGTTGTACAGTTTGATGTTTATCATCACATATTTTATCAGTATGTAGGGCGATTTAAGCAAATGAAACAATTATATTTTATATAATTACTTATAATGTATTAAAAGTTATAATAAAATTTTCATCGTCTTTTATAATGACTACAGTTGAATCTAAGATTTTTTAAAAGGCTACAGCCAAAAGCATCTGGATGGTATGTACATTACAACTTAAAGGAATATTCCTTGCCAGACCCTTTCTCTCTTGATATGGTAGCTATAATCATATATATAGTTTCCATATTTAGCAAAACATGGGAAAATGTTTTAATATGGTCAATATTGATCATTTAAAAATCTAGTGCTTATTTCCAGTGAGCTGCCATCTTTTAAGATTTCTTGCAGGAAGTGATGTCATCAACTCTCAACTTCTATATCCTTGCCCATAACAGTATAGGAAAGTAGCACAAAATCACTTTTAGACAAGTGATCATTACTTTCTGTGCAAAAATATTTTCAGGGCTTGTCAACTTAGAATAAAAGAAGAGATTTTCAAAAGGATTAAATAAGATACAAAGTTGAAAAAGAATATTTAGCTGGTTTTCTAATTCTTAATAGGTCCTCACCTAATGCTATATGCAAAGTTGAGAGTCGATGACATCACTTCCTGTGTGAAATTTTAAAAGATGGCAGCTTACTGGAATTAAGCATCACATTTCTAAGTGATCAAATTTGACCATATCAAAACATTTTTTGCGTGTTTTAATAAACATGGCAAGCACATATATGGTTATAGCTACCATATGAGGAGAGAGATGATTTGGCAAGGAATGTTCCTTTAAGTCATTTATCTTCCATACCTATCATGCTATAATTACTACCGTAACTATAAGGTATATGCTATTTAAGGAGAAGTGGAGTAAAGATAGAGGGCAGAAGAGATACCTTGAGGCCACACAGTCTGTGTAAGACGGGAGCCAGCAGTAGGTGCAAGTGCATTACTTTGTATATTGTACTTTTTGCCCTCGATGGCTAGGGTGTGACTCAGTCCCACTAGGCCCATCTTGGCTGCAAAATACAAGACACACTTTAATTTAATACTATACAAAACACACTTTAACTAAATACTATACAAGAAATGTCCCTACAAATTTATTGTCTGTTTAGCAATGCCTGTCTGTTCATTCAAAAATCTCTGTGGTCAACTCTTTTGTTTTGTCCTTTTACAACATTTCTTTCATTTTGACAGGTATTTTTATATTTTGCGGGTACTTAAGTTAGCAAAATAGGGCAATAATTAACATGCAAAATTGTCACTACACGTAGGTTGCAGTTAAAAAAGTTAACCATTTGTTACAGAGGCTGAATGCCAGCACCAAACACAGAGGTGAGAGCAGCTCACAAGAACCAATGGCTGTATAACAATTAACATGTCACCAAAGTGATATAAAAACAAGTCATATGATCCTTTTTTCAATCTAACTTAACAGACAATTTAACTTGTAAGGACAAAAAACATATACATTTGCGAGGGGATTGAGTGGGGAAGTGCAAGTACAAGATACAATACACTACCTTTGGGCCATAATTTAGGGGCAGTGGCAGTCATTCTGGTTCCTGCCCTAGGGGCTATGGCATTACTCTTTATATTGTATTTACGCCCCTCTATGGCCAATGTATGTGAGAGCCCAATGGCCCCACTCTTTGCTAAAATACTATGATGTCTATTATGTCAATTTACTACACTCCACATCTTAATTGTTCACTGAGAAGTATTAATATACATATACAGTGAAACCTGTATAATGGTACCTCTAATAATGTTCCACTTGGGAGGTTTTCCATTTATAGAGGTCCAGTTAACATTAAGTCAGTTGGTCTGGGGACACTGCAAAGTCTTCCAATTACAGAGGTGTTTCACTTAACAGATTTCACTTTACTCATTCAAGTTAAACTTCTCCACAAAAGAGTGAATACCAAACTTAATAAACCTGATTTCTCTATATTACTTCCAAAATTTGTTAAAGAGGCTCTATGCCATAGGAAAGCACAATCAAGACCACTCTGGACTTTTTTGCATATTGAGTTTCACCACATATTCACCCATCTACTTACCAAAGAAAAAGTCCCACATCCCCCTCTTTCAGTGTAAATTTTGCGATTGTGCTGGCCAATCTAATTATTTTTGCGGAAATTAATTCAATCTGAAGTTTGAATATACCGGGAAAGTCCTCCTGTTATCTGATTGGTCGTTGAGTCTGTTTATCATGAACCTGATAGGGTGTCTGGTTCAAGGCGCTTGTGTGACTCAATGGGGATCCCCCTCGCTAGCCGAGGAATCGATTGTGTTTAATTCTGGAGATTGGTTGTTCTGTTGATTATTTCAATATTTCGACAATAATATACCCATATAGTTATTTTCAAGATATATCCATGTTATGTGAGATATTATATGAGCAATAACAATAGGACATCATTGATTGTCTTGGGGAGAAACCTATGGTATAGTGCATCTTTAAATTACAACATTATGTTGAAATTTCGCATACTTGAGATTATTAATCTCCAAATTAATAGTAAAATGATTAATGGACAATGAGTAAATAATAAAAGGAAAGATATGAATGAGTCAACATTACCTGCACTGTAGTTGGCCTGGCCAAAGTTGCCATAGATACCAGCAGTGGATGTTGTCATTATAATCCTAGAAAATAAAAGATGAAAATATTTATAGAGGTTTTGGGGAGTCATTTGACTTACAGATGTGTATATACAGTTAAGCATTCCATACTGGCCATTGTCGAGAGTCAATATTAATACATTTATCTATAAGAATTCAATACACTATAAATGTGTTTTGACTGGTATGTGTCTTGACTGGTAATGCACTTAGATATTGCTTTTTCTTGCTAAGTTCCATTACAACTTTTAGTCCTTTCCCTTTGGCACTAGTGCTTATATATTTCCATTATCAACAATTCTTGAAATGTCCACATATACCCAGGTTTGTTAGGAAACTGTTTGTGGGATTGTATTATTAGAAAGGGATTTAAAAATGCACTGTGCCAGCTTTATTATTTACCTGCCAAACTTCTGTTTCTTCATGTGTGGCCAAGCTGCTCTGGTGACCATGAAGGAACCTCTTAAGTGGACCCGATGGATCAAATCTGAAATATACATGTAAGGCAAAAATGTGTAAAAAGCTAGGTTACATATTGGAAATTAGTATGTTCATTACAATATTACCGAATGGCATTATCCGCATAAACTATATATGACCGAGGTAAACTGAAAGGTGAGAATGGGCTTTCCTCTTTTTACCAAATCAATCATGAATTTTTATCTGAATTCACTGCATAAATATCAATGACTGTCATTAAAACACATACTCAAGATCTGTACAGGTAGAACCTCCATATCTGTATTATGAGAACAATCCCTTCAACTTGGGGATGGAGTTTCAACTATTCAGATGATAGCTATTTAAACATCAAACTAGCATCCATGCTCTTAAACACAATACATGTACATGTACATAATCCCAAAGAGTGTTGTGCTTTTCCCAATGACCTATGCATATAATGCATTTTTTTCCTTGTTTTAATGAACTAATATCCTTTAATTAAAACTTTCAAGCACAAAAAACTCCAGATTTTTCTCCTTTCTTTTCATTCAAACTTTTTCACAGAAAAAAACTTGTATTGAATTGGTGCTAAATGTATAAATGGCAAGAAGCCTGATATTCAAATGTTGTGTCCTTAACAGCTAAGGTCTCAAACTTAACAGAACACTTTTTATCAGTTTGACACAGTTTGAACTTGGGACCTTATCAAAATCAATGTACATGTATGCCAACCATTTGTGATAAAAGACTGTTCATCCTTTGAGGGTATAAAATAATTTACTGACTGTTAAACCATGAGTACCTATAATGCACATAGTTTTGTTCTGAGTAGAATGAGAATTTTTCAGGGAGTAAAAACAATTTTGTTAGTAAATGATGAGTTTTGGGCACAGAAAGCAAATGTTATATAGTACATAAAATCATCATTATCCGAAATGATCCTTACCAATACGTGTGAACTTTTAGACACAATCCCTGACAGTTATTTGTTTGTATTTAGTTACTGAATCTAACCTTTGACCTAACTGTTAACTGTACAATTTGCTGAACAGGCAGATCAAAGTTCTTGAGATTGAATATCATCTAATTTGTGTTTCTCATACAACATGCAACAACAATAACATCTATTGGAACTCATGAATTCACTGCAATCTGCCCTGTGGCTGGTTCGCATTTTTGATTCAGTTTATTTTGATCATGCATTCGCATATGTTAGTCATCTTTGAATTTTCATATTTAGATGGCAGAACGATCCATAATCATACAAGAGTACTTTTATCTTACCCATCATTCATTTACGAATTCATAAAGCACCGTTTTGAACAGCATATTAAGCAACAGAATATATTCTTGTTTGGTAGGCCTATGCAAGCAAACCTGTGCCTGACTAGCTAATTGTTGCACATTAGTTTTCAGAAAGTAGAAATAGAATCATAGAGCATAGAAATATAGTGATATATCAATCCTCTTTGCTTTAAACATCGATTATGGATTATATTTGGAAATGAATTTTTCACTTACCCCAATCCAAATCACTAGTCCTTGCAAATGAGCGATCTCTCAGAATACCTGCATTGTTGATCACAATGTCTGAAACAAAAATAAAATGCAATATACAATATGCAATATGCATTTTCTTGTATTAAGAAACAAATCCTAGGACATATAGAATATCCCTGAAATAATATTTTATTAACTAATAATTGGGGATTATTTGATATAATTGTGGTTTTCAAATACCCGAGTTTTGAGTAAATAATTGGGGTTAGCACTGACAAATTAGGATTTCTCCCAATTTAAATCGAGACTTGACAGGTGAGATACCTCTCTCCATCATCACATCTCTTGTTTCCACTAGCAACATGCTCTGATTTTATTAGTCTCATCTGATGGGAGGAATTATAACTGTCATGAAGACCTAATGTCCATGTATCATATTATAATATGTTATATTAATAGCCTCAAGTATTATCAATTAGAGTCTTTGTTAGATAAGACAAGACTGCTACAGACTCTACCACAAAATGATAGTTTAATACATACCTATTCTACCAAAGTTATCTAATGCTGTTTTCACCAGTTTTTCCCCATCTTCCACAGAGTCTAAAGATGGAAGAACACATTATGAACGTGCTGTTTATGCTTCATGTATGCAGATACATATGTATTTTACAAGACTAGAGGTTACAATACACTTAATGTTTTAATTATAACTTTCAGTATGTTTGCAATAAATTCTACATGTACATGCCCATATAAGGCTTTCATACCATAATTGGCAACTGCTTTGCCTCCTTTGGCCTTTATTTGATCCACTACAACATCTGCTGGTCTTGAAGTACCTCCTCCATCTCCAGTCATTGAACCTCCCAGGTCATTTACTAGAAACAAAATAAAACCAATATAAATAGTTTTTTATTCATTAGAGAATGAGAGATAGCAAAACACTTTTCTTGTGTAAGCTTTTATAGCATAACATGCGATTTGGAATCAAAATTGATATTTACAACACGTAACAGGTACAAACCACATCAGTTTACTAGGCTGTGTTGAGCAGAATGCGGTAGTTTAGCTATATACATGTATACCACTGAGCAAACTCAAAAAGCTTATTGAGTGTACTCCACTTACCAACAACTGAGGCTCCCCTCTCACCAAATAGAAGTGCATACTCTCTTCCCAGGCCTAAAATAGAGAGCAGTGAACAGTTAAAGTGCAGTCAGTGTCGCAATATGGGAGATCAGCACTTGCTCATGTATCAAGCAACATTCACAGGAGTTCACAGACATGTAACCAGGCATACGTAAAGGTACGCAGTTGCCTACCCTAATAATTATGGAGCAAACAATGTATACAATAAATAGTGCCCCATTACAGTCTGATATAGCTCAGAATGCACCATTTAAGGTTTACAATCAAAAATTTTCCAGAGGGCCATGCCCCGGACCCCCTAGTTTTGATTGGCCTTCAGCCTAGCGTATCTGCTATCAGAAATCTGTTTGCGCTGCAGGTTCATACACGTTCTCAAGAAATCTCATATGTAAATAAGAGACGACATAGACTAAATTAAGTATAGTGGGCAATGTTTAGAAGCTCTTGGATTATTGTTCATGTTGATTTGAGCTTTAAAGTGCTGTAATGAAACTGAGATACTGGTAATGATATGTCATAAGACCATGGGCATTCAAGGGTGACATGCATGTGTACTGAAGACGTCAAAATGACTTGGTGGACAGCTTCGGTATCTTCCAGAAAGTATTTAGTTGACCGCAGAATTGTGGCTCCCATTTTGAAATATCTAACTATCATGACTTTTGTACATGTACACTATATGTATCAATTGGGAGTAAAGAATCACACATACATGGGCGTAGCTCTATTTTTCTAAGAAGTACGCCACCACCACAGGAACAACAGTTGAGTGAACCAAAAAATGAGCATTCAGGGGGTCTGGGGCTTCTCCCCCAGGAAAATTTTGGAATTTAGTTGTATTTAGAGTGAATTTGAAACCATCTGGTACGCCTGTGCGTACCCAGCCCATGACATACCAGAACTTGAATTTTGTGATTTTTTTCAATATTTACCATAGTGACACCATAACGTATCATAACTTCCGGAATAACAAGCCTTACGGAAAAATTTTGGGAATATTTTCACTTCGTTTACATTTCTTGTATAACTGTACTTATTGTTGATCTGACGGAAAGATAAGCTGATGTAGTTACACTGGAGTTCGTTTACTACCATTTGGAAGGCACGTGAGGGTCCCATTCATCAGGTAACACTCATATGTCGATGTTATGTTCTTGCTATTTTTAACAGTTAACCAGGAGTAAGTCACGATAGAATTTCTACTGCATTTCTACTGACGGTGAACACCGCCTCTAATGCGTTGGATTGTTATGTGGCCAACACGATCCTCAGAGACACAATCCAATGCATTAGAGGCGGTGTTCACCGTCTATCAGAGACCCAGAGGGTGCATGAATGCACCTTATCCCGTTCCCGGACTATGGTCCTGTGAACATCTCAATCTTTTGCCTGTGCGATTACAACATGGGAGAATTTTTTACTGATCTTACACTTCAGATACCTACTTCAATAGATTCCTTGGTAATTTAGCATTCTTTTCGTGTAGTTGAATCCACAATTGTCTGGGTTTATCGGCAGAACGAAGACATTTTCGTTTTTGATCGCAATATTTGCGTGTAGCATTTAACTTATTTCAACCGTCAAATTCCTCCATATTGGTACTTCCAGGCTACATCCGGGACAGCCAAAGGGGGGATTCCCCTTTTAAATCCAACCACCATTTTGAAAAGTGATGGAATCTCTCTCGATGAAAAAGAGAAATGTTCCCGTTCTGCCGATATACCCAGACAATCGGCGGTTCCAATATATTAGAAGTTACATCTTGAGTTCTATAATGCATTGAGGTAGGTATCTTAAGTGTAAGGGGCGTAGATAATTCTCCCAAGTTGTAATCGTACAGGCAAATGAATGCGCTCAGTGCAGGACTATAGTCCGGGAACGGGATAAGAATGCACCTACATTTTTAGAAGCCCAATTTTGCAGTGTCAAAGAATCCATGTACTTGTTATAACCTCTGTGAAGTACAGTATACCAGGTGAATAAACAGGACATGGAAATATATTGCCTTGTCACTGTACTCAGTTATAATATACTGCACTTTGACCAATGTGAACTCTGTTCACAGCCTGATCAGTGATCTCCGAAATAATTTTATTTTTCGTGCCATTAGAAATATGTAAATTGCAAAAAAAGTAAACAAAATCAGAAATTGATTAGTATCCCTACTAGTGCAGAAATAGTTTGAACATTGTTTGCAAGTCATAATGTAACTTTAAACTCACCCCCACCGGCTCCAGTAACCAAAACAACGCGACCATCGAATCTTAGAGGAGCAGCCATTTTGAAGTAAACTTTGACCTTTCGAGGGCTGGCGCATCACGTGATAGGAGGCGTGGCATATATATTTGTAAACAAACGCACGTGGCTCAATCCTCCTATTTTTTATCAAATTAAAGGCTGCATACATTAACAACCTATAATATTATTAAAACATGGTTGTTACAATGCAATGTTTAATGTAAATTTTGTGAAAACTATTCTAGAACAGGTTGTAAACACTCCCGGGTAAACACTGTCACAACACTGTCCATACCACTCCCCTAGCATAAGTTTGGCAACTTTTCCCCCATTGAACTACGTGTTAAAGCCTCTTTACCTTTGAATTTTTGTTTACTTAACCTGCGATGAAAATACTTATACTATTGATGAAAACGTAATTTGACTTTAATTCCAATACCTCCAAATGTTCTCAATTTTTTTCCTCAATTACAATAGGTCGAAAATGGATGATAGATTTGATGAATTTTTGAAAATCGACATTCCCATGTTAACCAATGGCTTTAACACGGAGTTCAATGGGCGAAAAAGGTTGCCAAACTTATGGAGGGGACTGTAAGTTTTTAAAATACAAAGTAGCATTTAAAGCCTGAAATTTGTCCCCCATCAATTGGTACCTCGATCATTTTAGTAATTGTCATGTATGACTGAGCAATTATGACCATTATTGGGGGGGGGTGGCAGAATTAGTGCTGCGCCAAGTTATTACAATGGATTAGGCCTTAAAACATGATTCAACTGACACTCGTGTCAAAGTGTATCAACATACCAAACGTTCCGATCCATTGCTGTTAAGAGGCTTTTAAGAGCTTAGTACAAAACAATTTTTCCTTTCTTTAGAAACAACATATTTTTTTTTGCAAAAAAAATATGGGAAATTAAATTAAAAACTTTTTAAAAATCACATTGCAACCATTCTGATACTCATAGCATCTCTCTCTGTTGCATCTCTCCAGATGGATAGAGATGGAGAGGGCGTGGCTTACCACGATGCATTGCAACCATTTTGAAAAATGGTGGCTGTTACATGTTATTTTACGATTTTTGCCGTATCTGGAAAATCAGGATTTTTACATATTTGATATGTGAATACTGAAATAGTGTCCTAGAGCCTATGGCAGAGCGGGTGCCATAGCCCATGCCATAACTCGCATACTGAAAATGGCGGCCATTTTTCAAAAAGATCAGGTAAATGTTTTTTGATGACACATCAAAAACCTGTTTGTGTTTGGCGATTTGAAAAATCGTCAAATTTATCGTAAATTTGTTAATATTTTTTGATTTTTAATGCAATTGTTTTTTGTTCCTTTCTACCAATTTTTGAGAATAAAAATAAAATATCTTTCCGAACCTTGTTGGAACAAAATAGCATATAAAACATTTTATTAGACCTCTCAATATTATAGTTATACAAAGGAAAATTTGTTTGATTTAACAAAAATTAATCAAAAATTAAAACAAAAAACCCCAAAATAGATAACCCTTTCATTTCATTAACAAGATACTTTTTCAAAATCAACCAAACAATCCTTTGTACAATTACAATATTGAGAGACCTAAACAAGTTGTGTATATGTCGTTTTGTTCCAATGAGGTTCGAATAGATCTAGATCTTTGGTTTCATTCCGAACATATGATACCAAGAACAAAAGATGTGTTTTCTAAAAAAATATAGAGAAAAGTATATATTTTTTTCAAATTAAACTGTTACCATTCAAAAGATGATCATTAGATTGATGATGTGTAAAATTTTCAGAATTTTCTTTATGACTGGTTTAGAGAAACATGTGTTCAATTCAGTTCGCCATGTCGATACCAATCCTTTTCAAAATAAGGAACAAAATTGAGATTGAAACATCAACAGGCTTTGATGTACTGTCAATATGAATATTAAAAATAGTATTATTAGGAAGTTGTGAAAATATAAAAAATCAAGTAAATTTTTAATGAGTCAACGAAAGGGAGACTACCGGTTATTAAACACGGAGGAGAGTATATGTGCATTTTATAAAAAAAAATTGTGGTTCACCCTGTTGAAAAAGCAGGTTATAGAGGTGTTCATCTTGGAAGGAATTGAAAATTATTACAACTCAGTGTGCATGGCAACAGTAGTTGTTTGCATGCTTGTCTTAATTAGAGGTCGTATTATATTGTTGTTATTTTCTTCAGCCTTGAGATATACAAAGGGCATGAAACTACTCAGTCAGGGATAACCTATACGTATTGGTTTTAAGGAGAAAAAATAGCGATTCAGATGGTTTATCTAACTTAAACCACACCCTGGGTTCTTATGAAAGGTAAATGGTCCATGACCCAATTTTAGGAAAAAATGAATTTTTTCTTGACTATGAGGTAATTGTATTGAGAAATGAGTGGGTGTGATATGTTCAGCTTCAGTGCACTACATTGTACACCCCAGGTACATTTTAAATTCTGATTTCCTTTGTGTTTACTATTCAACTATTGAATGAGTGAATAGGGTATAATTAATTCAGCTGTACACTGCATGTGACAGTCAATCATCCTTTGTGCTGCATTGGTTTTAGATAGATTGTCAAGTGTATATTCTTTAGAAACAATAGAAAAAGAATGCTCTTTTGATTCTGGACATTCTTTAAAGTAAACTAGAGCTCATTCTGTTGTAATGCTACCTAAGTGAGGTTTAATTATCTATATAATCATTGTCCAATAAAACATATGTTTGACAGATGCCACTGGGATAAGGCAGACACAAATTCCTTTTGATTTTTTTGCAGTATAATATAGAATAAATTATTGGATGATTTGAAGTGCAATACAGGATATATTGTGCTCAGAAATTTTGTATTGGCAAGAGACGAACTATAACGTTTTAATTATCGGGTGATCTTTGGCCAGTACATCTTGCTTAGGAGATAATCCCTAGGAAATATTTTATATTATTCTCTGTATTGCTACTGAGATTGTCCCCTCCGTACCAATATTAATTTTCTGTATTGCTACGGAGATGATCAATGGGGACAATCTCAGTAGCAATACAGATTGGTACAGCACAAGAACTGACGAATTGGATGATTTCATTTTACAGATCATAGGATAAAATCTGTTAACAACACAACTCATCTTCTTAATATATAGTTTATTTAATGTTATTTGAATTTACAATGAAGGAAATGACTGCCAATGGTCACTATAAACCACTGATATATACAGCATATATGACTGTTAAAGTCCAATAGGGATTTATTTAAGTCTAATTCCCTGTGTCAAACAGGTGTCTGTCCTTTCTTACATCTGTAACATCCTTGAAATATTTTAAACAAAGTCTGCGTAATTTTTACCACCTGACAATGTTTACAACACCAATTGGTTCCGTAACACAATCCTCACCGAACGTATCGTAATTATCATCAATGTAAGCAAATCCTGCGCCATCACCTAAATCTGTACCTCTGATAAAGAGATCGCGTGTCTCTAAAACCATCGTATTGATGTTTGCCCTGTACAATTCGAACCAATCGTTGGCACCAGCACCTGTGACACTGATTACTATATCAGAGTCAATGGGAAACTCTCCCTCGCGAAGGTTGAGGGAGGTTTGGGATGGAATAGGGACTGCGTCTTTAAGTGTTCCACTTGTAAGGGAGACTATGCTATATGAGGTAGTGGTAGTGTCACATATATGACCTTCATCTCCGTCGAGAGCTCTGAATCCTTCCCATCTGAGGTACCCATCTCTAAGATTTCCTTGGTTAGCGATAGTGACTTGACGAGGAATTTCCCCCAAGTTGCCCTTGATTGCTGTTTGAACCAACGTTGAGGATTGAAAGGAATCAATGTAGATGATGTTGTTTTTGTAAATACCAGGTCGTGCCAGCCAGTTCTCAAATTGTTCATTGAGGCCTCGATGATGTACTGAACCAACGCGTGTATAACGTTCAGGGTCTCTCCCGTTCATACCAAGGACATTAGCATTGTTGCCTAATTCAATAGTGCTTTTTTGTAGACCTTCAAAACTCATATCAGATGGTTGAACTCCCACGACAGAGTCGCCGAATATAAGTTCTAACACCTCTCGGAAGATAGGCTCAAGTTCTGAATGTCTTAGCGCACCACCGATGACGATATTAGTGTTAGGGGTTACACATGCGCTGATTCCTGTTATGTCATTGGGATTATTCTGTCTATATTCTCTCATCAAACCAGTACGTTGTTCAAACAGATCTTCTGGATTTGAGACTCCTGTCCAATGATGCACAATGCTAAAATCCCAGAACAAATCTGATTTTTCAACAATGTAGTCATCTTTAACCATCGCTATGATATTCTTTCCAGTTGCAAGAACAGCATTGATGGTAGGATTGGAGTCAACAGCGGTCGAGTCGACCAAATGTGGACTCAGGATTCGTAACATCATGTCGCTAATCTCGTCTTTCCGATTTTCAGGGATTGGATCAGTCCCCGCTATTCCCCGCTGGGCAAAGTGTCCAAACTCGAGAAGAAGAATTTCATTGCGATTGTCTCGAGCAAAGTCGGCGATTTCTTGCAATCCTGGTTCTACCTCCGTTCCAGCTTTCCCATGCCACCATCTGTATATTCCATTGTCCACTGCAGCGATTCGCATATCAAAGTATCTCAGGCCAGATCGGAGCTGCATGGTGAAATTCTGATCTTGATTGATCGACCAGTTAGCGACAACATCTGGAACTATTTGATCTGCAAGTTCGAATAAAGGGTTATTATTTATTAGTTCACTTTCTGCAGTTATACCCCACGTGCCGGCATCATGACTCCCAGGAATAACAATATCGCCGATCCTCCTGTCCCCGATCATTGGCCTCAACAGTGACATCCATTCTGTCTCTGGGTGGATCTGCTTCCATTTATTCCTTGTCAAGATATAGTCATTATTTGAGCCATTAGTTTGGGCTTCATAATAACCACCACTGTCATCAATGAAGATGTCACCAATTACCAGTTTGTCCTTACTGCAGAGATTTTTGGGGTACAGAAATGTTCCTTTCTGCAGTTTCAACCAATTATCATCCTCAATGTCGGGGAAGTTAGCAAACCCCTTTTTCTTTTCAAGATCCCCAGTACACTTCGCCAAATAGCAATCATCTGTCGTCTCTTTACAATAGATGTCACCTTGGTTGACATTCGGCCATTGTCCAACATATTTCGGATATTTGGCAGTTCCATATTGGGGTCTCCATCCCAGTGTATCATCTAGTTCTGAAAGATGGCAATTTACATGAAGTAATTCATTGAATCCAAAGTATACGTAGAGATGTAGAGCGAGCGTTCATTCGAATATAATTAATAAGATCAGGTTATATGTAAAATTATATTTGTTACAAACACACCTTAGTTTGATACATCTGTAACACATGTTGCACAATATTTTTAATATTAATACTGTGATATCAAATAATTTACTTACCTCGTTTAACGAGAGGTTTTGCCGCGACGCAAGCCAATAGTAATGCAAGCGTTATATGATACATCTTTTGTTTCAATGAATTGTTCTCCCTTGGGCAACTGCCATTGTGTCTTACATGACAAATGAAATATAGTTAAGATACTGCACTGGTATGTAAATTGTTGGAAGTGTACATAGTCATATTAATTCTCTGCTTTTCTTATATGTATGTAAATTTTTACATTTTCACATTTTATGAATAATTTGTTTTTGTAACTCTTTATGGAATTACCAACACCATGCCTTGCGCCAGTTCAATTCTAAAAAGAGTATATTATTTCCCTCCGTTCCTGTGATTGTAAACAAAATGAAATAACATTTTTAGTAATTTGTACCATGATAAAAACAACAGAAATAGAACACACAGCTTGAAAAACGCCTTGTCGTTCCCAAGTGATCCAACACAAACTGTAGAGTCATATACTGTATAGTCATATATCAATAACAAGACTGGAAAAATATCCCGAGAAAATATCCCATCAATTCGACACCTGAAACGTTGAATTTGGAGAACTTTTTTGTTGAACTACTTTCCGGACACGATGTCTCGAAATCGGTAAGAGTAATCAAAAAACAGATGGAACATTCGGTTTCTAAGCTATTAGCTTTTAAGAAAATTGGGAGAAAATAAGAACGAAAAAAGAAGAAAAAGAATTGGTAAAAGCAATCTTGAATCTTATATAATGAACAGAATAAAATGTACACTTTTAGTCAACCTACGGATATGATGAACTGTGACAAAATAAACAGGGAATGTCTTTATGAACACTTTAAGACACTTTTAGTAACATTATCCAAAGTGGAAAGATTAATCATTTCTAAACTTTCTTAAACATTTCAGGTTATAGTAACTGATTTAGTAAAAGGAACTTTAACAAACCTTCCAAAGTCTGGTCTGTCTCATTGCAGAGTTTGAATAATTCACTTCCCTTCCCAGACAGCCTTTCTCCTGAAAAAGACCACGACTGCATTTTCAAGCTGGGTCAAATTTTACTTGCCTATTTTTAATTTGTATTGGCAGAATCGCTTTACTTGATGATAGGTTACATAACGTTTACAAAATAACAGAAAAACCTACATGACATTCATACTTCTTTAGTATTCAGAATAAAGTGCCTACAGGCTCTGTAGAGAATTCGAAAAAGAATATGAGAGTATATCATTGCTATATAGTGATATATATTGATAAGACCATCACCTAGTGGCTAAATGCAATATAGTCAAAGTGAACATAAACCGTCGTATTAGCTGCGAAATTGAACTAATGCTACACTTCTCAATGACTTCTATTAGGCCTAAAAGTTATAGATAACCCCAAAACAATTGGTTGTTGCGCTGTTCAAACACATATGAAAAAGGACCTTAACACATAATCTGTCTCAATGTTAAATTTTTCAATCGCTTTTTGTACACATGACCTTCTCAATCGTGATTCTAGCTATAAACGTATTAGTTATATTGTTGGACTTTGAAATTGATTTAAGTCAAAGTGTTTTTTTTATCAGTGAAGTGTGTTCGATCTTAAAAAAACATTTAGAATTCAAGTTCCTATATGGTTACTAGTAATAATGGTTATATTTGGATGATAAGTTATGATCCTTACAGATTCCAGCCCGACGGCGAAGTTTTTCTTTATCGAGAGACGATGGAGTATGGAATAAAACTTACAATGTGAAAAACGGGAAGACAAACGTAAGTTTGACCTGAAACCAATTGGTACGTGTAGGTTAACATTAAGTCGATGCTGACACGAATTTGGTAAATTTGGGTATTGATAAATCAGAGAAGATAATTCTAAATGGTAGGGACTTAACTGAATGCTGTGTTTCCAATGTCATATGGCATCCTTTCCATTTTAGAAGATATGAACATCATGCACCCCCCAGAGCCTTTAAGTTTTCAAAAAATACTCTAGTATTACAGTATTTTGTGATCTCATTGTGACTTTCAGGGATTGTTTAATTTACTGCTTGGACCTACATGGATTTCCACACCTGCCCACCCACCATGCAGGGGGTGCAGGGTCTTATAAATATATTTCAGTCAATGGTAAATAACATAATTGATGACATTCTGGTCTACCTGAACAGTGACTGATAAATATTTATTGTAGCAATTGGCGTAGAAAACATATGATAACCTAAGAAAACTGTTAACATTAGACAAGTTAATTTATCAATTTAAAGGTGTTCAAGGTTATTTTAACATTGGAGGAGAAGGGAGGAAAAAGCGCGACCGAAAAGTGTTCGGATCAGGTGATCTGACTTTTATCTCTATGGGGAATTGAATGAAAAATAAGTTAATCTCATTCGTGTCTTCAAACAATATTCAAATTTTTGTTTTCTATATTTAGGTAAGAAATCATGGGGGTCAGTATCGAGCAATGGCGATGTGCCATTGGTTCATTCCATCCACGCCATTTGAACACAGGACGCATAGCTATCGTTCAGGTACAAGGTAAACCACCAGAACCACCTGACCTTGAGAAGAGCCCAGAGGGAAGGGAAAATAGAATTGGTGACCCATATAGTCATGGTAAAATAATCACTTGGATACGGGCATTGAGGATCGACCCCCAATTGTTAGTAGTCATCGCATTTCTGCTGTTGATTGGAGGTGTAGAGGCCAATCCAGGGCCCTTGACACCTGATAGTGATAAAGGTATGAGTATATTGAGTATATGAGTATACGATCGGCATTAATATTGCCAATATTACACTGACATTGGTCGTTCGTCAGTGTAAGAAAAGCGAGGGACTAAATACGTGAATTGTGTCTTTGTTAACATATAAAACCTAAAACCATCGACACATTCTCAAACTAGACTATCTTCCTTAACTTCGAGCCAAATTATTATCCACAACGTGACTTATAAGTAGGTGTAAATCGGGAAATAAAAAAATCTTACCGAAACCTAGTCCCGGAGGAAGTTCCGCCATGATACACTGGCGATACGTCTGTGTAATTAGGTGGGTAGCAGTGAACATGTCTACATGTCAAATCATTGCTATGTTTGACCCTGTCAAAAGTAGTCACTAGCTGGGGAGATTAAGGAGATTAAGTTCTCATTTCTCATTGATTTCCTTCATTTTTTCCACTAACTAATATGACGATCATTCTATTTATTTGTCTAGATTTCTTACAAATACTTTTACAGAAACATTTGTGAACAGTAATATCTACCAGAAATATTTTTGAGGTAATTTCTCCGATTCAAAGTAGCACCCACTTGTCAAATCATAAATTATTATAACATTTGTAGTGTTCATACAAGGTCTTCACATGCCAGTTTAATTTCCATATCCACAGTAACCACAAAAACATGGTGTTAATAAGCAGAAAATGTTTTGCATGCATAACTTTACTAATATTGATTCGATTTTGATGAAATTGGTATCGAATTAAAGAGAATTAAAAGTTCTATTTTTGAAAATTATATTTATGCAAATTGGCTCATTTGCATATTGATTGTGACGTCATAACTGCATTATTTTGCATATCTTCAAATAAATGAGTACATTTATTTCAGTATGGTAATGTACAGGTACGACATATGAATGAATTTGGTACTGTTTAAAAACTTATAGTATTTAGTTTTTAGATCCGCTTGTTAGCAATTACGGAAAGTGGGCCAAATGTGTCTAAAACACCCGTTTCCATTAACTTAACACAAAAATATGGTGTTTATAAGCATACAAGGTCTTCATACTTGTCTCCACGTTTTCTTCTCTTTCCTCAGGTCTTCTAAAACGTCTTACCGTGTTCTTGTCTTACCTTATTAGGTCGGCACAATTTTCTTCCCGTATTCTAGTTTTCCCTTATGTACAAATGTCTTGTATTCTAGTCTGCTTTGTGTTCTGTTTTGCAGAAAGTGAAATTTCTATCAGTCAGATGTCATTGGCCAAATTATTCTTGAGAAGATTCAGAGATTAGACCATTTAATAATGATACTATTGATTTCAAACGTACATCTATTTATTTTAGATCAACTTCCAAAACCTTCCACCGAGTGGACTTTTACTCAAGAGGTGTCAACATTTCAACATCTGAATACCATTATCAACAATAAGAAGGAATGTTCATCAGAGACTGGATCCATTAAAACGTCGGACAGTTATAAAACTCTAGAGTCATTAGTTAACAAATGTGGCTGGTCGGTAGAAGACAGCTCTCTGGATCAGAACCCAGGCGACTGTCTTTTTGAGGCTCTCTGCCATCAACTCAAATATACGAAAACGGCCGACACAAAACCCAGGGAGTTGCGACAGAATCTAGTAGCTTATATAAAGCAAAACACCCAACTGGTAAATTTATCTTCATATATAATTATCGATATTGATTTACGTTTGGCAGGAAAGTATACCAAAGGTACAATTGGTCAGTTTCTACAGTTTGGGTTGAAAAATGTCAAATTACCCATGGCGAGGCATTTGTCTGTCCCATGCTTGACTACGCCCAGGTACTAATAAGATCGTACGGTGGGCAGTTGACAAGAGTCGGAGGCTAACACTATTTTTATCTGCCTTGTGCAAAATATCAAAGATTGAGGTCATTTTTCTAAGTACAGTATGGCCAATTTTGAAATTTATATAGATTTATTCATTTATGGTATAAAAAGTAATTTTACCTACAGGAGAATGGCGACCATGTTATGACACTATTTGACACAACTACGAATGATGAATGGAGAGTTAATAGTAAGCAAAATGAGAAGAAAAGCGCCGATGAAATGAAGCTTTCATACTACACAGATTCGTACATGAACAAACCGGAGACAACGGGAGATACGTTGATGATATGGGCATGTTCGCAACTTTATGATGTTGACTTTGAAATATTCCCAAGTGCATCTGATCGATCATATAAAATATCTGCAAAAGATGACGACTCAATAAGGGCGACTGTAAGACTTGGCTTTGTCGGCCAAGCATATTTCGTTAGCCTCGTCAGCACCAACAAAGGTAATAAAATGAAAATAGTTTCGAATAAAAATGTCAAATCAGCTAAATATTTGATTTAAAACTTAAATGTATGCAAACGAATGTTTCAGTTTGACGATGGTGATTTTATTCTACCATGTACTTGGATTTTTTTCGCACATGGTGTAGCAAAAGATTACAATATTATCATGTGCTTTCAGTTTATCATGTTGAAATCCACTTGGCTATTTATTGTGACACTAATAGTTACCCACTTGATTACAAACTTGAAATTATGAAAATGAAGAAGGTATCAATTTCACTAAAATTAGCCAGTGATGATTGTTATTTCAAGAATGCAGATTATTTGGAAAACTATGTTCTGATTGGCTGGAAATTTAAAAGATTTAAGCCCTTGACTCGGTGCAATGTGAAATGACCATTCCCTGAAGGTGCTGCTTTCGAAGATTTGCAAAAGATGTGGAGCATCGAGTGTTAATTTTTGGAAACAGCGCATGAAAGTAAATTGATTACACAATGCATTGAGTCTTGGGCTTAAATTCTTTTCATACATTGCAAAAAGCAAAAAAATTCTACAAAATCATGTAAAGAATACGAAATCACTGAATGAACATATTTTCAATGAAACTTTTCGCAAGGGTCAAGCTGGCAAAGTATCTGTAGAGTCCAGTCATCACCATGACAACCGTTTAACTTGACCTTGAGTTCGTTATTGGTTATATAACGGAATGCGGTTACGAGAAATAGCATGTTCTGATTGGCTGAAATTGAACACACCTTGCCGAACTATGTGTGAATCATATATTAGTCATAGCAATGTGTACACCATTTGTGACTCTGTCATTTCATTTGTATCATCAACTATTTCAGAGTCGACTGAATTCATGTACCTTCTTGGACGTAAGATTAAAGCCTGTGACCAGGTTACCGAAATTAAGAAACAAGCAGGACTAATGTCCGATTTGGGCCTAGAATATGCGGCTTTGGCCCTTGTAACTCAAGATGGCTGGCATTTCAATTACGCAGCAACTCTATTCAATGCAGCTCTACGACGCATTGAGGGATGTGCGACTGCAGATTGCTCTGAAGGTGAAGTAATGGTGAGAAACAACTCTCTTACAGCTGAATATCTACATGATAACCTCCAACAAATAGAGACTGCTTTCCTCAAAGCACAATCAAGTAAAAACAATGAGTCAACACTTAAGTGTACAAACAGGTACAGAGAAAAGCTGAGGAAAATAAGAACATATTCTACTAAAACAATCAATGACATTCATATCAATGATATGCAAATTGATAGTATCACGACGGACATGATTCCTGAAAATGAGAAACGAACAATTCAAAATAGCAAAGAATACTATGATAAATTAACAGACATGATCATAACATTTCACAGGCAGTTAATAGAAGAATGTGTTTCGGTACTTGGTGAGCCAGACTGTCAGTATGCCTTGATAGGGTTAGGTTCGCTTGCCAGAAAAGAGGTTACCGCTTGGTCTGATCTTGAGTCAGCAATTATATTTGATTCTACAGGGAAAACACCCGAGGAGTGTATTGAGATAAAACGGAAGTTTAGAGCATTGGTTCATTATCTCCATATGAAAGTTATAAACTTAGGAGAAACTAAAATCAATGTTCTAGACATCCCTGTAAAAAAAGAAAAATGTTTTTCAATGTCAATTTTTCTAAATATGCTTAACTTCAACAAAAGACCAATGTTCATTGTCTAACAGGTTAAAAGGGAGAATATATTGTGTACAAATACAACATTTTTATGATTTTATTATTTCATGTTCATCATTAGTTTTCAAACTCCATAATACCTTTTCGAAACATTGACCAATAATCTTAACAATTCATCAATCCAATATAGTACTTATTACTGTTCTTAAAGGCTATCTGCAGATACAGGGTGTTCAAAATAAACGCAACCCAAAGAAATTGCTATATCTTGAAAAATACTGATTCAATTATGTTCATATTTTCAAGAAATAAAGAAGAGACTGTGTATGTATAGCTCCTGTCAATGGTTATTTGTAAAACATGATGCCTTGGACACCTGCTCATAAGACAGTTGTTCTAGCAAAATGCGAAAAACGCAGTCAGGGGTGTCTGCAACCGCAAAAAAATTAAATAACTTCCTAACCATAGTGTTTTGGCTCTTCAAATTTTGCACAAACCATCTTCATTCACTGCATGATAAATCTGTAGAGTGAAATCAAAATCACTTCAGGGACTTCACTGTAATGGTTGAAATGCTTTCAAATCGAAGTCAAACGCCCTGGTTCAGGGAGACTTAAGAAGGCATTTTGACCATGACTGTAAAGTCCCCGGAGTGATTTTGATGAAACTCCACAAATTCACTACACATTAAATGAGGATAATTTGTGCCAAATCTGAAGTACGAAAACACCATGGTTAGGAAGTTATTTAATTTTTTTACATGCACAGTCTCTTCTTTCTTTTCCTGAAAAAAATAAACATAATTGAATTAGTATTTTCCAAGATATAGTTATTTTCCATTCACCTTTTTCGTATTTTGCTAGTACAACTGTCTTTTGAGCAAGTGTCCAAGACATCATGTTTTACAACTAACTAACAACAGGGGCTATACATACACAGTCCCTTCTTTCCTTCCTGAAAATATGAACATAATCGGATTAGTATTTTCCAAGATATCGTGATTTCTTTGGGTTGCGTTTTTTTAACACCCTGTACCTAAAAAGCATTTGAAATGTTTTAATCTATTTTTCATGATTTCATCATCTTTACATAGTCTATAATCTATTTTCAAAACCGGCATTTCATGATCAAATTGAAATATGCATGTATTACCTCTTAATTGTTCCCCAGCATCATGAATACTTGAGTCTTCAAAACCGTCCATTTTCTTAGATTTCTTGGTCCAGTAGACCTTGGGTATCCATGGTTGTGCTTTGGGGTATTCCTTAACAGGACCATCTCTTGGTTTCCCATCTTAGTGTACAAAACAAGAATTTATTTTCATGGGAACTTTTTGTTGTGACATCTTTATTCAGTTACATGAGGAGGAACACATGCAATAACACCACAATCTGCACGATCCTTTTATGAAATAAACAGGCAGCTGAAAATATTAACGCTGGCTGTCACCTCGTTTCTCACAAAATTTAATAATTTTTCAAAGTGACTTAAGTATGTCTTGTTAGAGATATTCATACAGATGAAAAGAAATTATAAAAATTAATTCCTATTGTGATAATTTATCATATTTTGATAATTTATCATATTGTGATTATTCCTCCTATTGTGATAATTTATCATATTGTGATAATTGTCTTATTGCGAAAATAACCCCATTGTAAGATCTACATGTATCTGAAATATATGTATTGTGGATGAGAAACAAACATACAATGTAGGCTACATAAAATAATATATCGCCGAAAGTTGGGGTGAACGAAAATTTAAATGAAAGATACTAGGGAAACAGTAGGACTAATAAATACTTTTACATTCACACATATAAAGCAGTCATCTACACAATTTCTGGTTCAACCACAATTGGTTCTTGCACTGATGAAACTACTATGAAAAGGGAATTTAACACAAAATATGCCACTACTAAATACCTGAACTCCTGCATACCAAATGCAATCTCCCATTGGCTATCTGTACCAAAGAATATTCAAACAAGTAAAACCCTCATTACCTTTAAGAACAACAATCGCAAGCACCTTCTCAACCTTGATATAAACATAATCCCTACCTCAAAGCTTAATATTTCTAGAAATGAAGAAACACTTATTAATAGGTTAAGGGTAGACCTGCTCTTCAGAGCTCAACTCTTTGCCCACAATTACACCTTCATCAGTTCTCCTAACTGTTCTTGTGGTCTACCCGAAACTCCAAAACACTTCTTTTTTCACTGCCCTCTGAATGAAAATGCAAGAACCACCTTTTTCAATACTCTCTACACTGAAACTCATTTGATCCCCACAAACCAATCTACACTTTTAGAATACCTAGCCTTTGGCAATCGTAATTTTAGCAAGGATGAAAACACAAAAATCTTTACTCTGACTTCTGCCTTTATTAAGAGATGGCTTACCCCATATTGAACAAGACTATTATAGAACCTATTGTACCCTGCCTCGTCTTGCAACTATAAATTACATTGTCCCTCTGTCCTGTATTTCCCCCAGTCCCAGCCCAGCTCAGACCCCCCCCTTCCACCCCTCTTCAACTTTTTCCCCGCTAGGCTAGAGTGCTTATAATGCCAAGATGGTGATTAGCACTTGAATATGCTCTCTTGTATACTATATTACCCTATGTACATTTATTTTATATAAATAAATAAATAAAAAAAAAAAAAAAAAAAAAAAAAAAATATGTCTTGTTTTTAAACTTTTAACTCACTTTTTGCACATATGACCTTGGTGTATTTCTAGTGATGAACGTACGATTATTATTGGACTTTGTAATTGATTTAAATCAAAGTGCCCTTAGCAGTGAAGTGTTTTTCAAAAACATATCAAGTTGTAGATCATACTGAGAGACATTATTGGGACTACCTCTCAGAATTCAAGAACATTAATGGCTATATTTGGACGACCAAAGTTATGATCTGAACGGATTCTAGCTTGTCTTGGAGGCTTCTCTAAAGCGAGAGACTATCGAGTATGGGGAATTTAACTGACGTGGTCACTTACATGTGCAATGTGAAAACAGACAAATAAACGTGAATTTGACCTGAAACCAACTGGTACGTAAGTCATTACAATTTAGGTTAATATCAAATTGATACTGATACAAATTCGGTACATTTATGGTATAATTAAATCATAGAAGATAGCTCTGTATGGTGGGTTCTTACCTGTCCTTACCTTATTCTGTGATTTCATTGTTGTTTTATTCATTAATAACTTAATATATTATATATCAAGGCATCGGCCTTAATCTCACTAGTGTCTTCAAAAATATTCCAACTTTTTGTGTTCTATATTTAGATTAGAAAACATGGGGGTCAGTATCGAGCAATGGCGATGTGCCATTGGTTCATTCCATCCACGCCATTTGAACCCAGGACGCATAGTTATTGTTCAGGTACGAGGTGAACCACCGGAACCACCTGAAACACCTGACCTTGAGAAGAGCCAAGAGGGAAGGGAAAATAGAATGGGTGACCCATATAGTCATGGTAAAATAATCACTTGGATACGGGCATTGAGGATCGACCCTCAATTATTGGTAGTCATCGCATTTCTGCTGTTGATTGGAGGTGTTGAGGCCAATCCAGGGCCCATAACACCTGATAGTGATAAAGGTATGACTATATTGTAATTTTAAGGGAATCAATCTAGTCTAACAAGTGGCATGCATATGGTTGATGGCATTTTTAACATTAACTTGATACAGATACAGCTGAGGCCAAGGAATAAGAAATAAAATGTTTAAAATGTCGTCTCGTGTACTGAACTGTTATATGCAGCACATGTCCTTAGTCGGGGAAGGCGAGGGAGAGGCCATCACAGTATAGTATGTAGTAATATAAAATCAGGATTAGTGTAAAAGGTTTTTATTCAGCCTGAATTTGAAACAAAAATGAAATGATTTGTTGAATAACTATCAAAAGCAATTGAAAGCACATCTCTTTAATACCTTTATTAGATTTTATGGCAATTCCAAACAGTTCAGTATCACATTTTTAGGTCTATTTTTTAACGGATCGGGCTAATTTTCATGTTTGATTGACATTGTAATAGTTTCTGGTTTCCTATTTATCTGTCTTTCAGGAACAGAGTTAAATGACCTTCGTGACAAGATTCAGGGTAAACTAAAATACATGGACGAGTCGATGACAAGATTGAAGAATAAAGGTTAAGTTACTATATAATATATAATTAATTACGATCAGTTACAATAGATATGATATTGCATTGTTGGTCTCGAATTTAAATCAATAAGGGTTATGTACTGGGAGGTTTTGGACAATGGGTTTATCCAGAGGGATATATGCATATCTTCCTGAGGGACCGAAGGTAGATGTGCATATATCTCACGAGTGATGAACCCCATATCCAAACCGACCGTACATAACTGCTTTATCCTATACCCAGTTAGATTTTTTAATTTTTTTCTAATTTTATTTCAACTTTTTTCATATTTTTCAAAAAAAAATCAGATTTTTCAATTTTTTTCAAAGCGGAAAGATATGCCCTGGAGCGGGAGATATGGAGGTTCTGGATATGGAAACCTCAAAATTAAAAATGGTTATTCAAAGTTTAAATGTTGATATATCGATACTTAGAGAATTTTTATATGTATATATTTCAGTGCAAATGCCAATATCTGCTGGTACACAGGAAATATCCTCTGTCAATGATGACGTTCAAATGGATAGTGATTCTGATAATGAAACTGGAATCGAGCCCTGTGAAACGGATGAAGGTAAAAGTATCTACAGGGTGTCCCGAAAGTATGCCCCCCCCCCCTAGGCAGACATATTCCAGCAGCAATTATTTTCAGATATGACCTTAAAAGCCCTTCAAATAGGGTTGTGTAATTTTATAACCCTCTTAAAACCTGTTAAGCAGTGAAAACAAATAAGTGTTAAAAATAGGTATTTTTCATGTAATTGAACATAGCTGAAACAAAACGTATTTTTGCTCAACATTTTATGTATTCTAAAATAGAATGCCTTTATCTGAAGTATGTCAGCATACTTTTTGATCGTTTCGATTGTAAGTAACGTTGATATCTGGCTCCAAAATTGTGAATTTCGGTAAAATTGTCAATGTAACAGGACAACACGCTTTTGAAAACATGTCATAACTCAATAATAAATGGTCGCATCTTTTAATTTTGGTTATGCTTGTATAGAGAACATTCATTCAGAGTGTGATGAGAGCACCGGATTTGATCTCCACCTATTACCGAATATATAGACTCAATAAAGTAAATGTAAAATTTATTCTGTGAAAATCGACATGGTCGTTAAAACACACCCACAGGGCATTAGGGGAATCCGAGAAAAATAGGTTATATGTGGTTAGCAAGTCCTTGATTCAGTTTGTCAGACCATCGTATTCAAAATCGTGATAATAATTGTGATTGAATTATAATGAGCATTATCTGAACATTTCTGAAAATTCACCATTTTTCTTGTGAAAAACGACCAAGATGTTATTCAAACATGGGCAGCATTCTTGTGTAAAGATGGACACTATTCAAGAAAACATTATATCCACTCTATTTTAACGAAAAGATTTTACGAAATAGCCAGCACGACCCCATCTATGAGCGAATATGGTGTGAATCTGTGACAATCGACATGCGTGAAAAATCGACATGGTTATACCAATGAACTCAAAGCAGTAAATTAGTCATTTGTATAAATCACAGATGGATTAATTTGATTTTATATGATTACCAATACTCTGATAAAACATTTATAACAGTTTTACGGTAATTTACGTATAACGATCAATTGATTGACATTGAAAAGGTAACAGCTAAAGAGTTTTCTCTTTGTTCAGCGTACCTTTTCCATTTTATACGTCTTCACAAAAATACGTTACATGCAAGCAGATGTCAAGTTATTTGGAACTTCCATAAGCATAATTTACCGAAAAGAATTTACTACAAAAATCACTATGAAGACCATAATAGCCCAAAATGTGTCAACCTCTGTAAATAATGTTTCGTTCAGTGCATTCCCGGGGATTGCTGACTGCAATCATAAAGTCTATTAACGTTTGGAATCAGTCTCCCTTTCAATGAATGCATCATTCTCAATGGTGAACAACATAAACAGGCATATCTTATTTGTAATATGAAAGATTTTATAGCTTTTCAACGTTGTTTATTTGCTTCTTATTTTTTAATTACGATCTGATCTACTACTCGATACATTATTACGATCTGATGTATATTCAGTATCCATTCGTGAAACGTAATTCTTTGCAAAATATACAAAGAAAAACAGAAAGTAAGCAAAGCAATGCTCGAGAATAAAAAAATCAAGACATGTGGTGCATAAAATTACGTTCCTCATTGAAAAATATCGCCAATTGAACTAGCATTATAGAAACATAAAGCACGAGATGCGCATGCGACGATAGAGGCAACAAAAGCAAGATGATTTTCCCCCTCTTCGAACAATAAAACCGGGGGTAGTCAACTACAAATATATACACTTCAAGAGTTTCAAAGAAAAACAAAACATCAGAAGAAACAAGTTTGATTGCGAAAGTTATGAGATGCGAAATCAGAAATCCGAAAAAGGATCGAGTCTGACATGAAAGAAATTTGTTTCTCTAAAGTGGAAATTTTAGCGACTAAAACAAAAATCTCAGAATAAACCAAAGCATAGTAATAAAAACACTTCCAGTTGCCATGGAAAAGGGTTCTTGTGATAGGAACTTTAAGAGGGAGGGGGGGGGGGTCATCGGCGAAGCGCTCCGCAGATAATGGTGTCAAGAGAAACGTCTCTACACCAGTGCAGATGATTTTTATGATTGAACTATACGTCATCCTTAATGGACTGGACTCGACATCAATAATTCAATTGATAACGTAGACTCGAGTAGAATAAGGACCGGCTTCTTGATTTGGAATAAAGGGACATTTCAGATCATATCTCGATAGATGCTGTTTGTACTCCAATATGACGTAAATGGTTGTCCTGTTGTGATACATGCAGGAAAAACGTCACTACGTCAACCTGCAACTGGTTCAAGCATGCATAAAAAGCTGTACCCAAAGGAAAAATTACTCAAATTGTAAAAACAAGTCAAAGAACCCTACCATATGTGAGATAAAAAAGTTAAACATATACCAAGGGTGTCAAAAAATTATTTTGACGACATGGCATCTGTCATCCCATTGTCATTCAATCTAAAAATGTAAATCTTTGGTTTCATGAATCAGTGCAATGTTTTGGTAAAGTTGGTGTGAAAAAATGTAGAAAAGATGTGTTCAGTGCATATAAACTTTGCGGACGTAATACATACATGTACATATACTTAGTTTATTCTCTTTGACGATATTTTAGAATAAAATGTGAAACACGACAGTGTTTTGACGAAAATCTTTACATAAACGTAGTCATATTTGGATACAAATACAGACTGGATGTTTCTCAATTCAGCAAGTTATATCATACATATCAAAAATGTCGATTCGTGAAGTGAGTGGTCCCTAAAGTGAACTTTCTAAATCATTGTCATTTGTTTCTAATTGTCTTGTGAAAATCGACATGCGGATGAATAGTGAACTAGCCTAATGATCAATTCTTGCCAAATAAAACTGTTATCATTTTCTTATCGTCTAAGCATCATTTTTCATGATCGCATCAATTCATGTTTCAATAGAGTCGACCCTTTCAATTTTATTCAAATGAAAAACAAAGGGGAAGTTAAAAATTGAGAAAAACGATAGATTTTATTGGTTCATGTTGACAAAGTGATGCACATCAAAAAGAAAAAGCTTGCAGTCCAAATCCATCTGCGATTTTAAAGGACAGTTAAGTACTAGAGGAACGTTCTTGGTTTTTTGAAAATGATGCATTCTAATTTGAATAGCTTGACACATTAATCAGGGGGTCAAGGTGTGAAAATCGACGTGTTTGAGACGGACCCTAATTTCAATTTGAAAATTCGCCTATTTTTCCTTGGAGTTTACTTTAATGCCTTGGGTAACGAATGTACAAATGTATGAAGATATATACCATATATCTATTTGAAAAAAACATTTTAGGATTTTTTTCACTTTTTAACAAAATTAATTTTACACTTAAGCGGTTTTGAGTGTAAGGCACTTTAGAAGAGTTTCCATAGAGTTTCTACCCTCAACGTTCTCTTTTTCCAACTCAATATCCATCCGATCCGAAAAGAATTGCTGCTGTTAAGATGGCCCGGAAGGACACATTGACTAGTGATTTGGTGTAAAATTGAACTTAATTTTGACCAAACACTAATTTTTTCACATTTGAGAGTTGAACCATGATACTTGGTGAATCAATGTAACTTTGGATAAGCTTTAAAATGATATATGACACATACTATGACGACACTGGTATATGTCTACCTAGGGGGGGGGGCATACTTTCGGGACACCCTGTGTATACACATTATTCTGAAAAAATGACTGTATCAGTTGAATACTTTTCTCTTTTAAAGCGCATTATCGACATCATGATAATTACATTTTTCATTATATATTGTAGATGTTCAAAAACTAAACCGTTTGCTGGAAAGACTAGTGGACATAGAGAAAAAGATAAAAGTAGAATGCAATGGGGACGGATATGAAACTGATGCCACCATCACAACGGATGGTAATTTCTCTCTATTTAGATTTACTTGTTGTTAGACATTATTATGAGTTCATTATGATATACTCGTATCCGGGACTCGTATATTAAACAGTTGCTTTCAACTGTTATTTTCAAAATAGCGAATGATATGAGCTCAACATGTCTTAAGATCTTGAACTTTTTTTCACAGTAATTCCAAATAAGAAGAGACGATTAGACAAACTAAAAGTGACGAGTAGCAAAATCACACGGTCCAAGAAACTGCTTGAAGAACTGGATGATACATTGGAGATTATACGGCAGTTTGAAACCAACTTAACGTCAGATGGATCCATCGGTAAATAGTCCGATTTTTTATAATACAGTCCTTTGTAATCATATTTTAACCTTTAAACGCCCATCGAAAACGTACAGTGACAAAATATATTGTTGTACAGTTGAGCTCTTCATACCACGAGATAAACAAACAGAGTAAGGATACATCACTCGTTGTTGTGGAACATCTCATCACAGGTGATCAACTCGATTACGCTGGTTTCCAAAACGGTTCGTTTCGGTAACAAATTGTCGGAACCTCGAATGTCCGATTTTTCTTTTTTTCGTTTTTTGAAGTTCCGTTTACGTTACAAAAGTGAGGTATTTGGGCTTGCCCTAAATCATAACTGCATACCGATTGCATTTTTCACAAAATTAGGCATATTTCCAACCTAAAGTTATTTCATCCAGCCATGACAGTTTTCAATGGAAGAATTTAGAGAAATTGATTGTTTATACTTGCTAGAAGAAGGTATACTGATTTCGGTTTCCCCAAATCATAACTGCTCTGACTGTGGAAAAAATAATTATTTTCAATAAATAATCGCGCTTTCTAGAAGATTTGAGATCGTTCTAGATCGTGTTCAGATGCAATGAGACATGTTGATAAAAAGCCGATATTTAAATGAGGAGGAAACAGAGGGGGAGAAACGCCAGGGTTCAAAGATGACATACGCTTATAATGTAAATCTGTATTGAGATGACATCGTCGCTGATTGGTCAAAAGTCGACAAACAAATGGCGTCATCAATGGCGGTTTCAAAATTTTCGAAATACACTTCGAATAATATTATGTTCATTTCTGGCGTGTTAACCAATATCATAGCTTGTTATTTCACATCAAGATAAAGAAAGGTGTACGGAATATGCCTTTATCAATTAAAACATCCCATCGAAGTGTAGTATTTGATAACTAGCCGATGAAAATTCGAACGAACGAAGTTGGTAAGCAAGAGAGGTAATTATGTCTGTCATCTTTAATCTCTGGGGCTTTCCCTCCTCTTAGGAAGAAAGGCTCATATTCTGTCAAAACATCGAAATAAATGAGATTATAAACGCCAAAATCATATCATGCTCTCCCGATTTTACGACGTTTTGAGATGTGATATTGAGGACACGTGATATGACAAGTGACTTATCAAATTATTACATTTCTCAAGTCATTGATCTTAGATTCAAAGAAACACAAATCAATACTAGTAACTATTTCACCAATATAAATATCTTAATAAATAGGAAAGACAGAATCATTGTCACCCTCCACGGTAGAACAAGTAAAAGCTTTTCTTCACGAACATGTCACTGATACAGCATGTCAGCCTAGTGTCGATGATCGTCTTACTGCTTGCGTGAAGAAACATGGCTTACAGATTGTTGAGAATAACGCTACTGGTGACTGTCTCTTTGAAGCACTTGCACAACAATTGGATCACTTGAATATCATAGCACTGGACCACCGTGAACTGAGGAACAACTTAGTGTCGTATGTTAAGAACAATTATATAATGGTGATTATTTTCTTCTATACGAGTGTATATGTTGTTTACGTTGAACAAAACCAGGGGTTGTGATCTAAATTGACTGGCGGATGAAGTAATTTTGCTAAAACAGCCAGAAATGAGATATTTCGTATGTTTAGAGAATACAGAATTGATATTATAAATCAATTTCACACAAATGAATATTGGGATTGAAGATTGAATGTGAACTGATTAAATTAATAAAATAGATACAATGATTTATATTTGACTGACCTTACTTTTAGCCAAATAAAGAGCATGTGATGACACTTTTTGATGACAAATCTAATGAGGAATTGAAAAACTACATGTTTACTAGACCAGACAATGATGAGTATGATAATACCGTGCTTTTGTCATGGTACACCGAGTCATACATGAACAAGCCGAGGACCTGGGGTGACACCATTATGATTTGGGCATGTACGAAGCTGTTCAATGTAAATGTAAAAATATATACAGCAGGACACGATGAACCATACACATTAGTACCAACAGAAGATGGAACTATGAGAGGTGTAATCAAACTGGGATACATAAGCGAGCTTCATTTTGTTGGATTGGTGGAAATAAAAGGTATGGACATTTGAAATCCACCGATCGAATATTAAGAAAATTGGCACCATTGAAACGTTTTGGCTCGGCTCTGATAATAGAATATGCGGATTTTTGTATCAGACAAGACAATGAGAAATTACCTTAGCTTCAAACCCTGAACCTACCTTCACTACACAAAGAGAATTTTGTAATTGTCGTTATATAATAGAGCAAATTGGGGTCAAAAGAATGACCCTTTTTGTGCAATAATCCCATTATACCATTGAAAAGGTGGCAATGTCAGCTGAAAGGTATATTCCTTGTCAGACCATGTCTCTCCTAATATGGTAGCTATAACCATATACACACTTTCCATGTTTAGAAAAACACGGGAAATGTTTTGATATGGTCAATATTCACTGGCATTTAATGTAGCCCGGACATACTACTCCGTAACGTAGAGATCATGGTACATGTATATCCATGGGGTTTGGTAAATCCTTTAGATCATTAATTCGATATATTTGTGACCACAAATGGTGTGAGTGGAGCCTCTCTCCGGAATTTCCCTAAGTATTTTTCTGCTATGAAAAAAATTGTAATCGTAGTATACGTAGCTACAGCGTCAACTAAATACCACGTTTGGTACAAAAATCAAGGTTACTGTATAGTCGCTGAGTTGGGGATGGTTGGAACTTGGGTTTTTATTTCAGAAATCGCTTGAAAGTCACACCATCTCAATTTTTTTCTAATGAAAATATAAGCTTAAGCTGGTACGATGTGCTTTCTTTTGAATATACAATATAGTTTAGTGAATACACTTTCAAACAACCCATATTACAAGGTATCCGGTGACTGAGATACAATGTTTTAATGTTTTTTAATTAAAAAAATACACCAAAAAATCTCCCTTTTCAGATTTTTATACACCTCCCTTTAGAGTTATGATTGATCTGTAAAATGGTACATTAGTTTTTACTATACCTCTTCAACTCCGGAAACATCTGACCCCCACCCGTTAGTCTTATAAAAAATGCGTTGTCTGCATTGGCTTAATGCCAGTAGTCAAATTTTGCGAAGAGTTTGTACAAAGTTCAACCCGAAACAGAAATTAGATTGCGAGCTGACCACTTGGATAAAATAAGAATCTAAATCTAAACGGATCAGACTGGGTCTCTTGTTTGATTAGACTGTAATATTTATTTTTCAGAAACAGAGTTAAATGACCTACATGACACGTTTAAGGGCAAACTAAGACGCATTGAGGATTTAATGACACGATTGAAGAATAAAGGTGATGTTTCTAATAACAGCTAATCATTTAGATATATTGCAGGATTCCAATCAAATCTCAAACTTCATAGGTGTAGATACAGCTATTTTTAATGAATATTCTCTATTCTCTAAAAAATATATCATCAGAATATAACAAAAGAAATAAATGATTAATTATTGCTCGATATTTTTTCAGTGCAAATACCAGTACACAAACCTGGTACTCAGAATATGACCCCTGTCAATGATGACGTTCAAATGGACAGCAGTGATTCTGATAATGAAACTAAAATAGAGACTTTAGAACAAGATGAAGGTAAAAAGTATCCATGCAAATTATTGATATACCCAGTATTCAAACAAATTTACTGTCTACTGCATCCATTTTAACAGTTTCGCTATACTATAGCAAGCTTTTATTTCTACACTGATCTAAAATGTTTTCACAGGAATATTGGAGCGGTAGATATACAGCGGGATATAAATGTATCGTCCATGGTACAGTATCTTTTACTATCTGTCTATGGTTATTCGATTTATGGATATCACATTGTTCCAAAGTGGATTTGTATTCGATTCGAGTTGTAAATACCTCTTGTAAACAGGTGGACAGAGATAGTAGGGAGTTTAAGCATGCATACAAAATCGAAACGCCAACCTATACGGAGTGACCAATCGCCCGTATTAAAACCCGCTGAAGGTAGTACACAATAGACCAAACAGTTGATTATTTTTCACGAATCTACAGCTACAGGGGGTCTGCGAGGATTGCAATCAGAAAACAAAAGCAAATCTTTTGTTTAGTGAGTGCAATCACAGTGGACCCCCTGCAACTGTGGATTCTTAAAAAAAGAATCCACACTTTACGCCAACAACTGTATGCTGAAAGGGGCAAATATGTTTTCTCTAACTTAAAACCCATACACTGTCACCTATGCAAGCTAAACGGTAATCTTTAGTAACCTACACGCTCTAGTAATTAGCCAATTTTCAGTTGATTTTATTTTCAGTTGACCTTGCATAGCTAAAACAAAGAATACATATTTAGCAAAAAAATCCATCTAGCAATTTTACTTTCAGAATGTTCACTCTTGATTCTTCGAGCTACAGTCAAAGAAAACAGTTATATTCATACCCTTTTCTGCTTTTCTTGTCAATATCCATATCAGATACAGGTTTTCCAAATCTAGTGTTAGAATCGGAGGAATATCCAGGCTCTGATATGTCGGATGTTTCGACACTGTACCGTAAATCCAATGTGCCAATTTCACTATTCATATTTATTTACTCCTCCTATAAGTTCCCCAAGAAAGTTTTCAAGATCTTCATCCGTGTCGATATCTATCAATTCCTTGAAGGTATCCTGAGTCAAGGTATCCATCCTTTCGTATTCCATGCTTCTTCTCGAATGTTAAACTAACTGTACTGAACATAGCGTTGACACCACATACATACATGCAATACATACAAATCCAATACTAATCACCATTGCCCATTCAAATGATCACGGGTCAGTGCACTCACTTCGATTACTATAGTTCATTGAAAATTGGCTATTACTAGAGCGTGTAGGTTACTAAAGATTACCATTTACCTTGCATAGGTGACAGTGTATGGGTTTTAAGTCAGAGAAAACATTCGTGAGAGTTAATTCTTTGAAATTAACGGTTCGGCTAACGCCTCACCGTTATTTTCAAAGAATCAACTCTCACTCATGCTTTCTCTATAACCTAATACATCGCTTTAATATTTTCCGTTCACGGTTAGGTTGTGAAAAACATTGCAAGCTTAAACTTCCTAATGTTAAGGATAGAGTCGTGATTATGTAATTCTTATTGGAGAACAAAAATCTCAGATATTATAATCATTCATCTTGAACAACGGCCTAAAATATCACATTTACCAGTATATTTGTCAAACGTCTATGTTCGTGTGAAAGCGTGAACTTCTATATGTGACATTTTACAAAACGCAGATACATATTTACCCCGGGTAGTTACCTCAGTTACAAGTGCATTTTACCATTTTTATGGCTGTATAAATTAAATGTATTTGGGTGAAAACAAACAAATTCATTATCATTACGCGTTTCGAATTGATTTGATACATTGGAATATCGAATGGTTGTATTCAAGTATAAAAGTGTGCAAATCGAATAAAGATGCAGAAAAAATTCCATAAGTTTTTAAAGAGGCACTATGCCATAGGAAAGCATAATCAATACCCCTCTGGACTTTTTTGCATGTTGAGTTTCACCACATATATACCCGTCTTCTTACCAAAGAAGAAGTCCCAAATCCCCCTCTTTCAGTGATAATTTTGCGATTGTGCTGGCCGATCTAATTATTTTCGAAGAAATTAATTCAATCTGAGGTTTGAATATACCGGGAAAGTCCTCCTGTTATCTGATTGGTCGTTGAATTTGTTTATCATAAACCTGATTGGCTGTCTGTTTCAAGGCACTTCTGTGACTCAATGGGGATTCTCCTCGCTAGTCGAGGAATCTATTGTGTTTAATTCTGGAGTTTGGTTGTTCTGTTGATTATTTCCGATATTTCGGCAATAATATACCCAAAAGTTATTCTCAAGATATATCCATGGTATGTGAGATATTATATGAGCAATAATAATAGGACATCATTGATTGTCTGGGGGAGTCACCTATGGCATAATGCATCTTTAAGTAATAATCTTGTTGTGTATAATTACAGACACAAACGAAGAGACGAGTTACATAGTCACTCGGGCAGAGGGGTTACTTGAACAACTAGATGACACATTACACCTTCTACAACTGTTTGAGACTCACTTAGTTTTAGATGATCCAGCGGGTAAGTATAACAGGCTTTGTATAAAAAACCTCCTACCCACGTACCCTCGTACCCACGTACGTGGGTCCTGACCCAGTCTTTTAAAGAGTTAAATTTTTAAATGTTTAAAACATTATTCATCTCAGTTTATCCTGAATTATAGATGAATTTATGCATCCATATGCCTTTATTTATAGGTCTGACATCTCTCTATTAAAATAAAATAAAGCCGGAATTGCATAAATGTTCATTATTTTTCAGCTATTTGATTTATGTTTTTGATATGTCGAAATGTTTTTTGTTGATCGGGCAGTCTTACCTGTATAACACATCAGTGCTGATTAGCAATCTCCTAGCCTTCGTTCAGTGCAATCCGTGCCTCCTGTTACCTCATGCATATTGTAAATGTCCCGGGAAGTTTACCCTTGTCCAAAAGGTTACATCTTTTTAAAAATATATTTTTTAGAGTTTCCAACCAATTAAATTCACCACATTTTATTAGATGTTTATTTCAAATGTTATTAGAATTCATTCTTACGAATATTATATTATACGTTATATTAACGTATGTTAGTCAAAGATTTGTTATCGTTGTTGTCCATTGTATTCACGTTTTACGCGCAAAAAGCTAGAAACTACAAAGCTGAACTTTTATCATTCAAACCAGTTTTACATCAAATCATTGTCAAAATAAAACTACTCTTCATATTACCTAATTATGGATCAAACGGCCATGAATAATGTCGAAGTTTACAAAACCAAACTTACACTCCCCTGCATAAGTTTGGCAACTCTAACTTTTAATTCCATCTAAATGATTCACTGAACTAGTGCGCACAATTATCCTTAAATTGTGCCAAAAAGCGATTAAAAACGAATATAGCGAATCCTTCTACTTTTCAAATATTTCGTTATTAGATTATTCATGTTATTTACCTAATTTTGTTGCATTCG